CTCGAGTACCATTCCATTTCGGAACCCGAACTTTTTCACTATCCACATTTAATTGTTTAAACAAACTAGATTATGAATTAATTAATTAATATATAAACAAATTACATATTTGTAATTTACGTAGAAATTACATACAAATTAAAAAATAATGATCAAAATCCATTGAGTAGAACCGGAGATATAGAAAATTTTATTAGTTTGAAATTGTTTGTTCGGTATGGATTGGTACTCCATGAATTTGTAGGTTCTTCCTAATCACCATTTGAACTACATTTTTAAAATTCGTAAAGGTACAACATTTGTGCAAATTTTTTATCAAAAAATACAAATCCCATTCTTTATCATGGCGTCAAAGAGGTTCCTTAAATATTATAATCAAATTAGCTGTGAATTAACAAAAAACATGGCTAACTTTGGCCCAAATTAACCTAGGTCAATTTTTTTATTTGAAAATTCGGGGAAAATTCTAGCTTTTCGAATGTAAAAAAAGATTTCTTCTAAGGACAAAGTTTTTAAAGTACTGAATGTTTATAAATTACATAATTTGAAAAATTTTGCATCAGGATTTTTGATTATGATAAATCATTTTTATCATTTTTAATACATATTGATAGTATCTTTTGCTTTCATTTGTCGCCCACAGCATTACCCTATCTTTATTATTTTCTGTCTTATTTTATTGTAAAAAAAGACCTCTGGCATAAACAAATACAATAACTTTTAAACTAATTAATATATCGGTTCCAAATTTTGAGGGTTTGTTAAGTATCCCAATACCCAACCATCGCTGGAACTCTAAAGTAAAGTTGTTGTATTGAAAGTTTTTAACAAATATCAATTGTCACTTATTTTGCAGTTTCCAAAGCAACAAATTGACTTTTCAACTTACAAAAATCAGCATTTTGAAGCTTTGTCAATATTCTAAAAAATAAAATTTTGTAATTTTATTTTCTAATAATAGATACATAATATTAATATTTATGTAATTTAGCTTTCTAATGGAGTGGAAAAAATCGCGTTTCTTGCATTACATTAAATCGTTAAAAAACGGCTCCGAACTTTAGGCAGGAAACAGGTAGGTTTTGTTCTTATATGTCTACAATAACTAAAATAGTTGTCAGCTACCTGGATTATTGATTGTCACGAGAAAATCCTTATTACTCTGGACTAATATGACTGGACAAGCAAGTGACGAAACAAACTTCATATATTATGTAAACTTTACTAACAAAAACGTTCAAAATAAATAGTCCAATAAATATAATTAATCAAATTCCATATTCAAATACTGCAAAATATTTGGGTATTACTCTGAGTTCATGTAAAGAAGAAAAGAAAATAATAATTCTGATTGAAATACAAAAAAATGTACTGACCGATTGACCAAAATTCTACTCTGTTTCTACATAATAAATTATAATTATATAAATAAATACTGAAACAATAGTATTATTATAAAAACAGTATAAACATTTAGAAGGAAAATGTCACAAACAACAGAAAATATTTCTATTCATATAAAAATTTAAGCAAATTATAGGTACTTACTGCTTATTTATATAAAATTTCCTCAATCGCCGTCGACTTTTTCGTCCGGAACATAAACGTCTTCGCGAACTACCGATTTTAAAAACAACAAAACACACTGGTTTGTCAAAACTAATCAAAAGTCGAAATAAGCCCTAATAATGTTATTCAACATTATTTATGACCTCCAACTTTCTTACCTACTCGTCGGCGAGAGTCTAGAAACTATCAACAAGGACAGCTTGTACTGACCGAGAGAGAGAGTACATTTAGCACAATTTAACATTTTTTAAATAGTTTATATGAAATAGCTGCTTTGTCTTACTTTGCTTTGTCTTTGTCTTTATTTTAACCAAAAAATATTTAAAAAAAAATATTGTTTAAAACAATTTATTAAGTTACAATCAAATAGTGCACTAGAACTTTTTAAGACCTTTCATATAAAAAAAGAATCATCTCAATATCTGCCATAGTTTTTGCGTTATTTGATATAAACTTTTACATTGGAATTTAGTTATGCCCAGAATCGCGAGGAATGGCCTAACATTGTTAAATATAATAACATAAATAATAATATAATTAAACATAAATATAAATACTTTCATAAGCTCACAAATCATTTGTCTGTGTTATGTGTTTCCTTCTAACACATGGCGCGCGTGCTGAAAAACTTCAAAGGCGGCATCTGAGGGTGGGCATTCTGATTGTTGATTATTCTGTGGCGAAAGTGTTGTCTTTTATTCTCGGTCTACTACTAGGAAAAACTGACATCCTGTCAACGTTTGTCAATAGTTCTGTTTTTGAAAGTTTATTTATTGTTGGGGATTTTTATTTAATTTGTCTAATTTGTATTTTGAGAACGATTTTCAAAGTGCAAATCGAAACGTCAAAATAACCGTATTTTAATCTGAAATTGTGGTTATTTTGCAATAAAAAAAGTAAATAATCTTGAAATACCGTAAGAAAATAGCTTTAAAACAATTTATGTTGACGTAGCTGTAGTGATATCATAATGGAAATATTATCGTACTAGACCCTCCATTTTGGGTGTTGGTGCAAACTTTGCCTGAGAAAATGGTCAAGAAAAATATGATCCTTGTAGTTCCAAATTATACCATACAATATACATGGACTTATAGAACTTCCAGACAGTGGTTAGAATTAATTCACCTTGACATTTCATCTGTGACTGTGACAAGCATCGTCAGGCGATGTGGAGGAAATAATTCCAGACCACAACTTAACAAGTCTGGGAAACGGTAGAATCATTACAACAATAGTATAATTTATTTCACCCAGCAGAAGAAATAATTCCAGACTAACGACTTCCAAGCCTGGAAAACGATGAATCATTACAACAGTGGTATAATTTATTTCATCCAGTTTATTTTATTTGCTGCTACTCGTATTTATCACCATAATTCATAGATGCCAAAAAGATTTGACCGAAAATAAAAGATGCTGCTCCCAGCAAATGTATCTCTTGTGTACATATATGTAACGTAGACTACATTTAAAATTCAACAGTTTAAAATTATGTAATATTAACTGTTATTTTCATTCCAGGTTAATGCGAGTGTCAATAGAAGTCCAGGAATATATATATATATATATATATATATATTTCCGAATTTCCTTTCGTTTTCATCACACAGAAGTTTTCGTTCGATCATGTTTGTCATAGTTAACTGAAATGGTGCGGTTATGTCTTCAATCTTCAAAAACTTACTGCTGAAGGTTATTGTGTCTCAGAATTCGTATAATATGCACCTGAAAGCTTGTTGTTCTTGCATTTCCAAGGAAGTTTAACCTCATGACTCACTAAGACTAATCTCTCGATATCTGCCCTTCATAAGCTGATGGTAGGTTAGACTTAAACTCAGGCAGAAAGCACTGGTGTTTGAGTATGTTTCTCAGTATTTTGTCAGTGATTTTACAAAATTGGAAATAACAATGTTGTTCGTTTGTAGTTTTTTGTTGTTTGAAGTAGTTGGCGCCTATTTATAGAGAAGAACCTGAAACCTATAACTAAGAATACCTACCAGTTATGTCTAAGAATTCAAACTCCGGCCGAACTAAGACTAGTTTCGCTGTAATTGCCGTTCATCAGCTGGCTACATATAAACCTGAAGGCAGAACCGTTATGTACCTATATTTGTTAGTGTAAAGGGGACAAAATAGGCGCCATCTATCAAACCTTTGATGATTTAAAATTAAAAAGAATGTTCATGAATGTTAGGGAAGTGAGTCTTCTATTCACATTCCATAATAAGTTTTATTATTGTTAAAAAAAGAATGGGCTACCGGTTTCGCTGTTTAAAGACTTTTTGCAACATTAATAGAACCTACTATGGATTGTGAGTAGAAGACTTATTTGTGCCGTTCCGTCAGGTACCTTTCCCATTCGTTTGCTGGTATATTATTGTATTCTTTCAATTCTGCCATTTCTTTCCGTTGGTTTCTTATAAATCTCCATATTTGCTTTGGTGTACCGTAGAAGTCGCTTTCCATCCTTTTTGTAAACTGTTCCTAGTGTTCATTTTTTGTTCTTCTTACCAACTGCTTCGTTTCATTTCGTATTCTTCCATAGGTATCTAGGGATTCTGGAGTATTTGATAGTTTGTCCTTCGTGTAGGCCTCTCTTTTCTCTTTACATTTCTTTTATTTCTTTTCTGAACCATGGTGTATTGTTGTTGTTTCTTTTGTTCAGTGTGACTTTGCGTTTTCCTAAAGCTTCTGTTCCTGCTTCTTCAATGTTGTTTTTAATTTTCCACCAGCTCGCGTTTATGTATTCGATGTCGTCTATTTGTTTCAGCTGTATCTTCTGTGCTAGCCTCCTTTGGTACATTTCTCTTATAGAGTAATTCCACAGTGATTCTACATGAAATTTTCCTCGGTGGTTTCCTGTAGAAAATGTTTGCGATTACATACATAGATAAATCAAAATTTATACTAAGAATCCACTTGATCTACTACTAAAATCATGTTTAAGTAGCTACATTACCAAATGACTGGAAGTAACATTTTTTCTTTTATCGCCTTTCTGGGTATAGTTAGGCGGCTAGTAAATGACAACCAGTTTGACAGGTGTTGTTTCAACAATATGGCCGCTACCAGCTGTCAAAATTTCGAAGCCCCTATATGTAACTAATAGAGGAAAAGGTAAGAATTGCGAGAAGTATAGACAGAAGAAACATATAGCTAAAAATCGTATGGAATCATATGTATATCATAAATATTTGTATTAACTGCTGTGTTATCTTAAACAAAAATATGATGTGTTTATTTATTAAAATTCTTGTGCAAAATATGTTGTTTTAATTTCCCATATGAGAAAAAATTTAGTTTTAAAAAATCTCGAAACAAAATAGTCACTAAAATTCCGTAATGTCTTTTTCGATATTTGTAGCTATTATTACATTGTTACTGCCTTTGATTAAATTGCTTAAAATAATATTGTCTCATTTTTATAGGATTACTCGACTCAGAAATCTATCAAGAAGGAAGTGCCAAACAAATCCTCAACTGTGGTAACACAGAGTACTGAAGTTAAGCCAAGAATAGAAGCTAGCAATAGTCCTTCCAATACAATAACGTAAGTTTTAAAGAACAGAAATTTGTATATCAAATTTGGTATATTTTCCTTTGTAAATACCATCTGGATTGACTCTCTGCAGGATCCAGCAACAGATCTGCTATCATCTTTGTGTTCCATTTTTCTTGATATCCTTCCATCTCCTTAATATCTGAATGTAAATGTTCGTGTTCCTCACTCACAGTCTCCAAAATATCAGTGTGGGAGAGTAGAAAAGATATCTTTAGGCTCAGAAGACAACCCAAGTCTTGTAACATTTTTTTAACTATATTTTTGTAATCAGAATCTTTATCATTGCTCAAAAATTTCTCCACAATATCCTTAATTCTTCTCTCTAGACATCTGTCATGGCGTTGGCAAACATATGTTGTGCCATAAGTCTGTTGATATATGTAACAATAATTTCACTTCAATTTCGCCTCTGGGAGACCTGGAAACTTTTTAACCAAATATTTAAAACATTCTCGGTCTTTTTTGAAGAGATTTGACAAACTCCTGTATATGTCTTGACTTAATATGAAGGAGAGGAAGGAGAATTTTTTCTGGTCGTAGAGGTCGTGTTCTTAGAGAGAACACGAGTTCAAGAACATTGTTTTGTCCATCCGTAAGCGTCCTGGACTCACAACTCCATTAACCAGTAATTTTTTGAGCCTGGACTGCCTAGTAAACATGAAAAACCATGTAATTTGTTAGTTTCTTCACATGCAACGCGCTCTAACATATGAAGACATCAGAAAGGGAGTCTGGATATACAGTGTAGGTAAAAGTTTATGGTCGGTATGGTAAAATTTAACAGGATATCTAACGCAGATATAAAATCATATTTTCAGCGAATAGACAAAGATAACAATCATATTTCCCCTTGGTCTCCCCTCCATAAATATTTTTAACACTCATTGCTCATTCGTGAGACGAATAGTTCCGATCAAAGATATTTTACATATTCTCTGGTTCCGATCCTAATATACCTAAAAAACTAGAGGTGGATCCTCTCGTTTTTTAAATTTTTATCGGAACCGTTTTTCGTAAACTGTAACTAGTTGATTGTTTACCAGTATTCAAATTACCGAGTACACAAACATATTGGCTATTATCATTTATGTGTATAAGTATTGAAGTGAAAGAACCTAACGAAGGATATATTTCTTATAACTTGAAAAATAAATTAAACAATACAAATAGTACTTACATTTACATTACACATTATTAAATCGCGAATCGTCTAAATTGACATTTAAAAACAAGTTTTTCCACTTTTCTTGTTAACCGTGTTGTTCTTTTATTTAAAATTAAACCAGATTTTAAACATATGTTCACAAGGAAAAGATTTTGTTACAATACTACAATATTTTATGAATATAGTGGTTAAGTTAGGATATATATGACGATGGTTTTTCCACCACGGTAATGGACAGTTCCAATCTCCGTTCGAAATTTTTTGTGGGTAATATATCATCAGACAAATACATGTCGACTTATTTTATATCTCTCGATACAGGTGTATGTTTAGATGAGTCAAGTCCAATTAATTCATCAAAAATACACCATGGACTTAAGTCATCTTTATCAGTTTCTTTTTCTTGTACTGGTTGATTTTCAAGATTTACTAAACTTATGCAAAGACTCGTTTCATCCGTTTTCCATAGGTAAAGAACCAGCTTTTAAAAAATTTCCAGGGTGGATTCCTGGATATAAACTGCCAACAAAGAAAAACTGTCAGGTTCATTACTTCAGGAATGTTATGTCAAAACTGATTTAATAATAGATAAAATAAAAAGTCCTATTTTCGACAGTTCTGCAAAAAACACATTAAAAAAAAAGTACCTTATCTTCAGAAAGGCTTTTAAAGTAATAATTACAACATAACAAAGTTCCCAAACGGCCAATCCAAGACATGGAAACTAGGTAGAACTTCACCTACTACATGTTAAAAAAAATGACCGAGTTAGAAGAGGCAATCCGTTCCACATCGGTATTAAATAATACAGACTTAGACCTAGACCAAATCTAAATAAATAACACTGGATTATTTGTTCTCAGCTTTCCCAAATTTTACGGCCGTTTAAAGAAATAACAAGTACAATGAGTGACCAAAAATACTTGAAGGGTAGTTCAGTGATTGTTATGGTACGCTGCCTGCAAGAATCTTGCAATAAAATTTTAGCAAACGGTAAATTTAGCAATAAGGTTTAGCAAACCTTACATCCATAGTATCCGACGTAGTACAATTACTAATATCGGGTTTAGCAAAAAGATTTAAAGTGATAGAACAGAGTGGCACATTGTTATTATGTATATTTATGGATTCACCATTTAAAGTGCAGGGTTTTTCTGATAAAAATGAAGATAAAAAATTAAAGAAAAAGTTAAGAAGCTGGTTACTTCTATAATTAACAAACAAGAAGATTGTACTATTGAAAATCAACCAGTACAAGAAAAAGAAACCAATAAAGATGACTTAAATCCATGGTGTATTTTTGATCAATTAGTTGGAGATGGCTCATCTACACGTACACCTGAATCGAGAGTCCATTACAACGGTGGAAAAACCATCGCCATGTATATCCTAACTTAACCACTAATAGTATTGTAAAAGTGAACACATGTTCAAAATCTGGTTTAATTTGAAATAAAAAAAGAAGACGGTTAATAAGAAGTAAAGTTGAAAAACTTATGTTTTTGAATGTCAATTTAGACTATTCGCGATTTAATAATAACGTGTAATGTAAATGTAAGTACGAGTTACTATTTGTATTGCTTAGTTTATTTTTCAAGTTATAATAAATAAATCATTAGTTTCTTTCACTTCAATAAATATACACATAAACGATAATAGCTATTATGTTTGTTTATGTAGGTACTCTCTTACTTAAAACTACCTTTAAACAATCATAGTTACTTGTTTACAAAAATTTAAATTTTTAAATGCATTCATTTTTTTTCGAATCCTGAGAAAACTAACAAATATTTTTGAAAAATTTAAATGTAGAATAAAAGATTACATTATTACCGAGGGCCGAAAATCCCTTAGAATAAACAAAAAGGTTTTTGAATGAGATATTTGAAATTAAAAATAACACTAATTTTTTTCACCCCTATAACTTATTAAAATAAACATTATAGAAGTTTTCAGGGACTTTCGGCCCTCGGTAATAATGTATTGTTTCATTCTGCGTTTAAATTTTTCAAAAATATTTATTAGTTTTCTCAGAATTCGCAAAAAATTAATGCATTTAAAAAATATTGGAACGAAATTTTGTACCTACGCTCTTAACGATAAAACTAGCACGACCCACCTCTACTACTCGTTACTCGGTCGGCCAAACCAGACCAGACCGACCGACGTTGCCAAATAATTATTGTGTATGAATATTTTTTAATGTGGCGTTATTGTATGCAGTTTATTTCATATTGAGAATAAGGCACAATGTGACTTTAAAATAAGCTTATTTTGATGTTTAGATTTTTAATTCGGAAATCATACTTAAAATACGAAACATTAATAAATTTTATTTATATAAAACGATTTCCGAAGTGGAAATCAAAATGTTATATTACACTTATTGTAAAGTAAACTTGTGGCATATTCCCAATAAAAAAAACAGTAAGCTGCCATTTAAATCAATTTCGCCCAAATTGGATTATCTTAGAACATTGTTCAAATGCAAAAAAAAAACAACAGGTCAAATACATCCAATAAGTTTGGCAACGTTGAACTTCCCCTTTCCAGGCATGCATGTTTGGCGATATAAAGGGCGGACCTAATATACCTCTCTCTTTCTAAACAGCTGTTTCTCACTCCATCTCACGTAAGGTCCATACCGACCATAAACTTTTTCCTACACTGTATGTGTTCATTCTAGAACAACGTTGGTATGCATATTACGAAATACATAAGAATTAAGTATCGGTAAGTTCTTGAAAATAACTGCGTTTTAGAATTTAAAACTTAACGTTTCTACACCCATTTTGGAGCCATTATCAAGAGGGATATGGTTTTATTCCGAGTTCTAGGTCTCTAAATCTGCCTACTCCCCCACTCCTGACGTACTAGTAAAATGTAATGGCATGTCTCGCAAAACAGGAAAACAAAAAACCTATAGGTATATTGATGGAAGGCAACCTTATTTATGTATTTCTGACTATTGGTCGACTTCAGTATGGTGTACCTAAGTTGGATCACTACAGGAGCAATGCGACCAATTTGTGGCATTAGAGTTAGAAGACCCAAATGGTTTCTAAAGCAACCACTAGCAATAACCACGGAGGAGGCTACACCTACCGGAGGAAAGGAATGCCAAATATTTAAAACAAATAGAAAAGGTTAATGCCAGTGAATAATAACAGTAAAATGGTTAATACGATACAAAAAGGTAAAATCTTTAGTGACAAATAACAATCCTCAAGCTAAAGTACAAAGAAATAATGACCGTCACAGGCCGTGAATAAATTATTATTATATCAGGTTCCAAAACTAAGTAAATAAATAATTTTTGGTCAAATGTGGTAGGTAACACTCGTAGCAATCAATTGACTGTGATAGGGATGCTATAATGTTATTTGCAAGTTTATCAATCGTCTAAACAACATTTTATTTGACAAATGACTAATAAAGTTAAAAAGTTATTTTAGACATATAAACTTTCTCACATTTTAGTTTTTTGCTGATGTTTTTTTTAGGTAAATAATTTTTTATTTTGCAGAAATGGTTCAGCGAATAAAGCGAATGAATCAAATCCGTTTGAAGAAGAGGAATGGGAAGAGAATGACGCCCTTGTAGACCATGGTGAACCGGGTGTTCCGGTTAAGGCCTTATACGATTATGACGGAGCTGAAAACGATGAGCTTAGTTTTAAAGTTGGTAAGTAGCGGTGGGCAACGAAAAAGCACGACAAATTTTAATACTTTTAACATTTTTTGTACGTATACTTCATCTAATTTACATACCATTGCACGTCAGAGATCGAAGTTGACATAGTTGCCAAAGTATAAAAAAATCCCGAATCCATTTTAAATCAAATAGGTCGCATGATTATTGCAAAAGTATTACCATCTCTTTACAGCGACTATTTAAATTCTTATGTGACATTTTTAAAATAAAACACTAATTTTGTTCTAAAAAGAACAGATTTTATTAAATAATTAAAAATATACAACAAGAGGTATTCACTATAAAGTACAAAAAGTGTCAACACCGCAACTGTCAAATAAGTGTTACCAATTTATGCCAAAATTTTACCTTCGTTCGATTACAGTTACAGTGTGTTCCGAACAAATGTTCTTCATAAAAACGCTTTATAATGCATTTATACAAATTAAATGAAACATATTATTGTGTATTTCTTTAAGTTATTAATAGAAATCTTTATTAAATATTATTTCTACGCGTATATAATAAAATATGTCTAAACGCGTATATAAGAAAATATACTACGTTCCACGTTAAGAAAATAACATTGCGGAGATAGGGTCATGTATTTCTTATAGACGATAGAAACGCGGCGTTGCCACGACACACACAAGCACAATTTTGGGTTGTATAATTTGTATTTTCGTTTCCACAGACATGAATTAAATTAATGTTTTTTAACGTAATTGACCAAAAGTGCCCATTCGAAACAAGAGATGAAAAGTAGGGAAAATGATTTTAATTAGATAAATAGTATTTACAAAAGATTATTTTATTTTATCTTATTTTAATTATAGTAACGACAGTTTATTTGTTTTTCGGTGAGCCATGAATCATAGAAATCAGTAGAAAATATTGCTTAGTTAAATAACGCATTTTATGTCGTTCTCTGACTACATATTGATAATAAGGCTTTTATTTTGTAGTTATTCTGACTTTACAGTTAAATGTTAATTGAAAATGAAAATTCAAAAATTAAGCAAAGGGAATATCTTGGACATCCGTGCAAAAGAGAGTGTCTGAGAGTTTTGGCAACACTGATCTTCATAAGCGTAATGTTATTTTCTTAACTTGAACCAAAGAATAGTGGCTGTAGTGCCAGTGTACTCGGCAAAGTGATTCTAAAAAAGAACACACCTACCGCCTAAATATTTCTTGTTGATACTATGTGACGTCACGGGCTATGACGCCGATGACGTACATCGGTATGTAAATTAGATGAAGTATATGAAACGATGTGAAGAGAAAATGTAATCAGGCAATATACAATAACGGTTAGTATGATAAGACAAAGAAAAAATTGCTAATTGAAAACTACACAGAATAAAGAAAAAAACAAACAAAAATAAGAAAAAGAAACAATATAAAGTTATTGCATCACCCACACAATCTGTCCAAATCCAACAATAAGAGAATTGTACCGATTAATTTAGATTAAATAGAGGATAACTTGGAAGTATTGGCAGATTTATTCAACACGGTGTACGATACGGGAATAATACCACAAGAGTGGCTGAAGTCAGCATTTATAACCATTCCTAAAAAACAAGCATCACAAGAGTGCTCTGATTATTGAACACTGAGCCTCAGGAGTCATACTTTAAAAGTACTGCTGAAAGTAATACATAAGAGAATATACGAAAGACTAGAGGAGGATATTAGCGAGACGCAGTTCGGGTTCCGAAATGGAATGGGTTCTCGAGAAGGACTATTTGCCATCAACATATTGATTCAGTGATGTTGGGATTTAACGTTTTAAACGCTTTCGATAAAGTAAGACATGAAAAACTAATATCAATACTTATGAACAAGCATATTGACAATAAAGTCATAAATATAGTGCAAACATTATATTGGAACCAAAGTGCCATAGTTCAAATTGATGGGCAACACTCAGAAGAGATGAAGATCTGTAGAGGAGTTAGACAGGCATGTGTTTTATCGCCACTTTTGTTTAACTTATATTCTGAAGAAATTTTCCAAAACACGCTCAATAATATCAAAGCGGGAGTTACCGTTAATGGAAAATTAATTAACAATTTACGATATGCAGACACTGTGATCATAGCAACGAATATAGAAGATCTACAACATCTTATCGAAAGCTTAAGTATGAATAGTGCTGAGATGAGAATTAGTATAAACGCTAAAAAAACGAAGTACATGTTAATTAGAAAAAGACCACAACATATACATCACCTATTGACGATAAATGGTAACCTGATAGAACAAGTAGAAAAATAGAGATTGCTAGATCAGCATTTATACGAATGAAGCCACTCCTATCTTGCAAAAATTTAAATTTGGAGATCAGACTACGTACCATGCGCTGTTACATATTAAAGTATTAAAAATATCATGGACTGATAGAATTACAAATAAAGAAGTACTGGAGAGGGTTGGTAAAGAAACAGAACTAATCACCACTATACAAACCACAAAACTGGAATACCTAGGCCACGTGATGGGGGGACCAAAATATGAAATTTTGAGACTCATAGTACAGGGAAAGATTCAAGGAAGAAGATCTGTTGGCCGGAGGTAGAACGGATGGTTAAAGAATCTACGTGATTGGTATCAATGCAGATCGATTGATTTGTTTAAATCAGCAAGTTCAAAAATAAAAATAGCCATTATGATTGCCAACCTCCGTAGGAAGACGGCACTTTAAGAAGAAGACCGATTAATTTTATAAATGATATCGGGAACACATTCCAATTCCGTTCCATTTGAATTTTAAATTTATTAGAAGTTGGATTGAATTTGCAAATTTTTAATTTGGATTTTGAAAAGTTTTAAAGATTTGCTAAATTAGCTAACTTGCTTTATAAAATACACTAATACGTTACGTATAATTAAAGATTGTTCTACACAAATTTTCTTTCATTATCGAGTGACTTATTTTTATTTCATTAGTATTCAGTCGAATGCTTCAACTACATTTTGTTTTGTTTCAGGGGACGTTTTTGAAAAATTGGAGGACGAAGACGAGCAAGGTTGGTGCAAAGGGAGGAAAGACGGCCGAGTTGGTCTCTACCCTGCCAATTACGTCGATGTGGTTTCTCACTAAAATAACATACTCATCAATAAGTATTATTAAATATGTAAAAATGTTATAAATTATTGTTATTTTTTTAGACATAAGTAAAATATATATGTACTACATGTTTATTTATCAAATTGCGTTAAAATTTCTTTTATTCTTCCCTTATTTGTCCATTAGACGTCTGGAAGCGTATGAGAATATATGAAGAAGAAAAAAATGCTATTAGAGGTAAAACAACGACCACAAACACAAATGAAGTGCTGTTTTTTGCATCAAACTAAAATTAAAAAAAAGCTTTTCAGTTTTATGCGATCTCTTTAAGTGGCTGGTAAACATAAAACCGAAACCTAGAGGACTATGTCTACACAAGGAAGGTAACAGGACCAGTGCTATTCGGCCGCCTTTGATAAGATGGAAAACCAACAGCATTTCCTACATAAAAATAATGCTATAAGGCGAATATTTAATTTTTTCTATTTTAACATGGAGATTCATGTATCATCTCTAAAACTTGTTTCAGTGACGTTAAACTGTGCGACTGAATCCAAATTTTCACTCAATTTAAGAAAATATCGAATTGGTACATGGAATGTCCAGGGACATCCGAAACCCTGGAAAGTTACACATAATTGAAAAAGAAATGGCAGACCATAATATTTCGATACTGGTAGTCTCAGAAACTCACTGGAGAGGTAAAGGACATTTTAAAATAACTGCTGGCTACGTCGTCTATTTTTCAGGCCCAGATAACAAAAGTACAAATTGAGTCGCAATAATTGCACCCTCTAAACTGAACTTTAATATCCATCAAAATGAGAATATCCACCAATACCCTACACCATTAAGAGAGGGGTGAGACAAGGAGACGTAATATCGCCAAAGCTTTCAACCTTGTTGAAATTTGTCAACCTATGGCATTAACGATAATGGCAACAAGTTAAACCACCTCAGATTAGCTGACGACATACTGATTATAGCGAGCACATTCGAGGAGCTGCAAATTATGATGGGAGAACTAGCAACCAGCTCCCAATACCCAATACGTCGGCCTAAAAATTAATATGAAAAAAAACAAAATAATGGTTTACAATCGGCAAACACCGATGACCACATACATATAACTGAGGAGCTTTTTTACAAAACTGCAGAAATCCATTTCCGGTTAAAATACATTTTTTGAAATCGTAGGCTTCCACGGCCAGAGTCAGAATTATAGTTTATTCGTCTTCCGGGTTTGGACCGTGTTGTTAGCAACGGTAACTCAGTTACTCAACGCAACCAGAGGCGAATACTAACTACCAAGATGGGCATTTGGTCACAGTAACTCAACTACTCAACGCAGCCAGAGGTGGAAACCAAATGCCAGGACAGGGATTCACGTCCAACAGCTCAGAACACTAACGCGTCGAGAGGCGGGATTCACTCCCCGGCGGGGAGTGAATCCCGCCTCTCGACGCGTTAGTGTTCTGAGCTGTTGGACGTGAATCCCTGTCCTGGCACAGTAAAGCCAAAAATGAGATGTGGAATAAAGCCTGCGATAACGTAGAAAGTTTTATGGGTACAGCAAGAAGTAAAGAAGCCTGGAAAACAATTAGAGGTAGTAGAACAGATAGAAAAGAATGCAGCTAACAGAAGATCGAACATAATTCCAAGATATTGGCTACCAAAAATATGATATTTCCTACCGCTGAAGAAACTGAAATAACACCAGAAGAAATTAAAAAACACGCCAACGCTATGAAATATGAAAAGGCTCCAGGACCGGGGGGAGTACCCTTTGAACTGATTAAATATGGACCTGACAAATTATTTCAGCTATTGGCTTATACTTTTAAGTTATTCTTGAGAGGAGAAGAGCTACCCCAGAATGGAAAACTGCATATATCAGCAATCTATACAAAAATAAAGACGACAGAAAAGATTGTAAGAACTACCGAGGGCTTAGTGTAACTAACTCAATCTGTAGAGTCTACGGGAAGATAATTAAAATCCGAATTGAAGATTGTTGGGAAGTCGCTGAAGATCGAGTGGCTTTCGTACTGGTCGTTTTTGTATAGACAATGTGTTCTGCCTAAAACCAAACAATAGAAAAGCGTTTGGAACATAATATGGAGACACACATGGTATTTATTGATCTTCAAAAAGCGTATGACAGTGTCCCATTAGCCAAGCTATGGCAGGTGCTAGAGACAAGAATATTCCACCGATTTACATTAATTCTGTAAGGGAGTTGTACGATGATATGACGAGTATAATAAAGATTGGACAAAAAGTGACAAAAAAGATAAAAGTGACAAAAGGACTTCGCCAAGACTGCTGCATTGCACCTACACTCTTTTTAAGATTTATTTGGAGGGGTTTTGGATATTTGGAAAAGAAAATGTGAACCTATAGGTGTTAAAATTGGAGACCATGCACTGTACAGCTTGCATTTTGCTGATGACCAAGTAATACTTGGTAAAAGAGAGAATACTCTCTCTTTTTCTTCGGCTTAGGTTGTGGAGCACTTACACCAAAGCGAGACACACGCACAGACAACAGGAAGTTATCTTCACTATCAGAATCTTCAATTGTAGTATCTTCTGGACCAGAAATAATAATTTTATTCTGCCCTTCATCCTTCAACGGTGCACTATCAAAAACAACTTCAGCTTATACTCCTAATTGACTACCTGGAAGGTTATTTATGTCAATGTGGTTTTCATCCCCGGAATCTTCGTCGGTATCATATTTATCGGATGGAGGGAAGACAATAACACCATCAGGTAATGAAGATGGATCATCTAGGTGTTCAATCTCATCTAATAACTCATTGTGAGTTAATGATTTCGTCCAATAACTAAAAAGTAACAAAATGTTATCACTGAGTAGCATGTTATCCTACCGTATGTTATAACATATAGTCGTTTTTGAGCATTATTTTTCTCAGAAAAAAGAATAAATATTGATAACAGTAATAACTATAGTAACATTTAATCCAAGTGTGGTAGACAATGGTAGAGAGGTTTTGAAAAGGAAAGCCAAGAAGAATATTCTCACATCAAATTGAAAAAATGGACAGAAAAAGTATAAAAGAAACGGAAATTTTTTTCAAGAGATCGAACGACAATCCATACATTCATGGATCCAATGGCAAGTACAGAAAACGTAGATAAATACGAGCTAGATTCCCAATCTAAAGTTGAAGTTGAAATTCTAAAAGAAGAAAAAATTTAATTGTCATAATAAAACGTCTGTTATGTTTGTCAGTGGTATTTTAGTTTTAGCAGTTCAAAAATTTATAGATCATGGCTCAAAAATCACATTATGCACAATGGATCAAGGATCCAACCGGTATGAATCTTCAAATATACTTCTTTAATTAATTGACCAATAGATAAATCTGATTGATTGATTTTTGTACATTTATTTTAGCAATTTATTGAGCGGCAATATATAATACCTTAACGTAAAAAAATATTGTTCTGTGGTTATTTGTAATGGTGTCTATTCGTGTAGATCTTTTCATCTGACCTATTGCCCTGATGAAATTATATAAGTTAGAGAAGAACCTACGGAGAATTTTCTCTCCTATGTTGATATAAGTTACGAAAATTCTTCTAAAGCTAGGTACATGGCCTAACAAATAAGTGGTGATAATTCAAAGGATGGTTTGCACTTGAAAACTTTAATTCATACATTGCAATTTTGTGTATTTTTTCGGGACCAAGTCGTTTACCTAAACTAACACATAATTGTAATGTTTGACAAATTCAATGTCTTTAATATATAAGCAGACAAGGCTGTCCGTTTTATACCACTATATACTGTATTTCTATGGAAAAATCAATTGTGATGGCTTCTTAACTTGTGTTTCAGTTAGATTCTTCATTTTTTTGTAAAAATTTTTGTCTTTTGGGTTTATTACAAAATTGTTTGGTGGCAAAATCAGAATTCCTAGTTCCTAGTTTTCTGTTCAATAACCATTTAAGTTTGGTTCGATTTTGTTTAGTAGTCCATACGTTGCCAGTATGCGTGGTAAAAAGAAGGCAAAGGCAGAAAACGCTAAACAACAGCTACGAATGATCGATTCGTGATTGTTGTAAGCACTCTGTATGGGAGGAAGTCCGTGGATTTGATTAGTCTTTCTTACAGAATCTCAAAATTAGAATGATGATGATTTGGGTTGGTTTTTTTTAATGAACGCTTGATTGATGAAGGGTAAAGAGTGTATCGCCGCACCAGAAAACAAAATTAATAATTTAGTTTCACTTCTTTAGGAGACTTAATTATGGTGTAGAATGGAACATGTTTAGGGATACACATATAGATAGTGGTTATTTATGGCGAAACTTTAACTGCAGATCAATATATTACAAACACTCTGTAAGACCATGTGGTTCTTTTCGGCCCATATATTGCAGAAAATTTACGCTTCATGCAATATCGTGCTTGCTCGTTAATGGGTCTTAATGTAACTGTTTTTTTAAACCAAGTTAAAATATTATCCTTTTTATTGTCCTTAAATTGAACTGTTTGTAACTACTCGTGAAGTAATTAAGAAGTAAACTGGACATGACATAAAGCACAAGTCCCATATATGGACAATGTTTACTAATCTCTCTTTTATCACGCCCGTCTGTTTTTCTTCATATATATATATATATATATATATATATATATATATATATATATATATATATATTATATATATATATATATATATATATATATATAACCTAGAGCTAAGAATAATATTATTACTAAAATTAATATCAAACTCACCAGTCTTCCGGGTTGAACAGCGTCGATATCCATTTTGCCGAGCTTTCGGCATCCTCTCTGATGCCTTCCTCAGGGCTTCCGAGGTCTCAGTCTCCCGAGCCCCAGACACTACTACAATGTTCACTGATCACTACGCTATCACTACTGTAGTGGTAGCGTAGTGACTCAGTAGTGACAGTGTAGTGATCAGTGTACAGTGTAGTAGTGTCTGGGGGCTCGGGAGACTGAGACCCGGGAAGCCCTGAGGAAGGCATCAGAGAGGATGCCGAAAGCTCGCCAAAATGGATATCGACGCGGTTCAACCCGGAAGACTGGTGAGTTTGATATTATGATATTAATTTAGTAATAATATTAATCTTGGCTCTAGGTTTTATATATATATATATATATATATATATATATATTATATATATATATATATATATATATATATATACCCGGTATTTAGGCGGCACATGCCCTTCCGGTAGGGATCTATGGAGGAGTATCACCGAGCCGCAAGCCCTTATTTCTTGCCGTACTGCTCCACCATAGGCCGATCAGACACCAGCATATTCTAGTCTAAGCCGCAGATTCATTTAGAATTTTAAAGTGCTGCTTTAGCCTTTTTGTTTTCTGTACACCGAGCTGGGGATCGAACTCACATCACTCGCAGTGAAGCGAATGAGAAACCGGTCGCCCAACCCGCTTGACTATCTATTAAAATGAAGGAACGTAAATTGATTTTTTTTATATTTATTTTAGGATGATTATCTTTCTCCATATTTAAAATAGGTCTTTAACAATCTTTTGTACGAACAGGCTTTAGAGTCTTTAGGATATTTTTACGCAAGTATTTTGATGTTTTTAATGCAATTTGGGAGAAACCTTATTCCAAGGATGTTGCGGCTTGTACAAATAACCGTGAGTGGTGAGTTAATTTTTTGTAGTTGCATTGAATGGATGGCCGGAGGTTCATATAAGTTTATTCACTCATTCTGAAATAATAATTATGCTGCGGATATATTTTCTATTAACGCATATATGGAAATTGCTTTTATTTGCATTAACTATTCATTTTCTTGCGGTTTCTTCCTTTCATTAATTCAAAGCAAGCACATTATTATCCGTATTTAATATATTCAGCTTCCAGGTCTACGTATAAAATGTTTAAATTCAGTACCTTCCAACAGCTGAAGCTATAGCAATCCAAAAAGCGTTAGAATATATACAGTAGAAAAATTACCAGGAAACAATTATTTTACAGATTCACTTTCAGTTCTAAAAATTTAAAATTCATAAAAAATTGGGTGTCACCAATTAGCTGCACCATTGCTGCCCTAAATAATCAGCCAGCTATTAGTATTATAGTTATTAGAGGAAAATTATGTGAGTTGAATTGAATTTAATGTTTAATATAAGTTTGACAAAAAATTTAAAGAAATTAGTGGAACTATAATATAAGCAATAAAAATAATTTAAAAATATAAAAAAGTATTTAAAAAAACATTAAATACTTTTCCAAATAATACTTATCCGTAACTCTTTAATTTTTTTCCATTTTAAATATTTATTAATGCTCTAGCCACTTTTTTTGTCTTATTTAATAATTGTTTTTCTATCCCCTCTGCCTACTCGATATTTGTAGGAACTTCATCTTTGTTGTAATTATATTTCTGCTATAAAGAAAGCTATTACTTTGTTTTTTTATTACTCCATAAGATAAAAAATTTTATACATTCAGACAAATATTAGATTCCTCAAGTTTACTGCTTTATAATCCACAATTATCTATATCTAATCAGGTTGAGTCAACTATCACCTAACCAAGTCGACAACATTGATAACCAATGTTTTATTTTTAATATGTTCAAGAGTTAGGAGTTGACTGTTTATAACTAGGAACTATACCACAGAGGAAAATAACGAACCGGTTCCGAATTTGAACCACATATAAAATGATCAAGGCTAAAATGAACTATTCTATCGTCTTGATATTGAAATTTTGAACCTAGATGAACTGGTTTACTTTTATAAACAAATATCATGACTATATAAACCATTGATACTACTTTACGTCGTAATGTAGATACATTTAAATGTAGATCTTTGCGTATGTAATGAAATCATCGCAATCTTTTTATGGCATTACCATAACAACTGTTATTTAAAATTTAACATAATTCGCTATTTTTTGTTCAGCCTTAATAGGTGGGAAGCTTTAACCAGATAAGGAGGATACAGAAGGTAATGTTTGCCAACCAAAAAGAAAACCGTCCAGTGCATGCATCTTGTACATACCACAATGACTGCATACTAAAGATAGTTCTCCTCATTGAAAAATCTCCTGTGTTACATATGTAGAACTTGGGTTACAAGTCCTTTTCCTCCAAGTGGGTGAAAACTTTCATACTGTCCTTTGGAGATCTTCGTAGAATTTCGATCTGTCTTCTTGAGGATTGCAGTTCTTGGGCCTGTATAGACTTACCAATTTTAATTTTTGGTTTTTATCTTTACCACCAATATTCTGTCAGTGATGCATAGTCGACACTCTTGATCTTCTTTTCCCATTTTCCCAGTATATTAGTATGGCCACGCCTTCTTTTGTTCTGTTGGTTCTGTTGTTCTTAGAGACTCCACCAAGAAGGGAGAAGTAACTTCAAAGGTACTCGATATATCCATTCGCCACTCCATTCATCATTAAGGGGAGTATATACAATGTTTAATTAAAGTATAAGGTAAATGCAGGTAACATTGACACATCTTAACAAAACATTTTTTTTCTGGCATATAACTATACTTTGAACTTTGAAATTACGCGTATTGTTAGGTTGCTATATTAGGCGTAAATCGAGACTAAAAGTTTTTATTGGAAATTTCAAAATTTTAATACAATGTTTTATTTTTGTAAATGTGTCAGATGTCAATTTTACCCACACTGTATACTGGCGCATCTAAGTCTGAATTGTCATCCATTCGTAAACTAACTTCGCTGTCAGAACTTGATTCAATTGTTTTCTTTTCACAGTTCACATTTTGTAATATCTTGACCCTACAAATTTGCCAATTTGACTTGCTCTAGAGCAAATCCAATTTGCTCCGTAGCACCATAATAATCTTTTAACATATTTCGCCACGATTGCTTCACGCTTTTAAACACTCCCACATATAAGGGTTGCAAAGCATGAGATGTGTGTGCCGGCAAACACAAAAGTTCAATATAATTGGCAAAGTCCATTTCGATCAATGGCACAGTCAAGTGAGAATTGTGACCGTCAAATATTATAAGCTTTGGACCTTCTAGTTCCCATCTCCACATCTCTACGTGGACCTTAAAAAAGCTTATGATAATGTACCATAACAAAAACTCTGGGAAGCTCTCGAGAAAACAAATATTAGTGTAACCTTAATCAAGGCTGCTCAAGACCTCTATAAGAACAACACAAGTAAAATAAAGAAAGGCCAGGAGGTATCCAAGGGTTTCACTCTTAGCAAAGGACTCAAACAAGGATGCTGCTTGTCTCCTACTTTGTTCAAGATCTACTCAGAGCAAGCTCTGAAGACGTGGAAAAGAAAATGCAGAAACATGCGAATCCCTCTAAACGACGCAATATTATACACACTTAGTTTTGCAGATGACCAGATAGTGATGGTCCAAGATTATGAAGACCTCGAATATATGAATAGAAGTAAATATCAAGAAAACTGAATACATGTGCATTGGGGGAATTGAACAAAATCTAATCTTGGAAGAAATACAGCGAGAAATAAATCACTGTAAAAAATACAAATATTGAGGCATGCAAATAACCAACGATGGCAAATTAGACGAAGAAATTAAACTTAAAAATAACCAAGGAAGACAAGCCATTAGACAATTAAACAGTGTACTATGGGATAAAACAATCTCCAAAGAAAACAAACACAAAATCTATAACAGCATTATAAAAAGCATTATTACATATGGAAGTGAGGTATGGCCACTGAAAGGAAAAAACTTAAAAGCATTAGAAGCAACAGAAATGGACTTCTGGAGAAGAGCAGCTGGAAAATCAAGATTAGACAGAGTTGGAAACGAAAGAATACGAGAAATTATGGGTGTTAAACATAATTTAACAGAGGACATCAGAGTAAATCAACTAAGACCGTATGGACACGTCCAAAGAATGGATGAACACAGAATACCAAAGAAAGTATTGAACTGGACACCACATGGAAGAAGAAAGCAAGGTAGACCCAGATTAAGTTGGAGAGAAGGAATCGATAAAGACTTAAGGGAGAAGGGAGTTGAAGAAAACCTCTGGAACGACCGAGATAAATGGAGACTGGAAATCAGAAGACAGCATAGAACGTTATAAACTGATTGATATATATATATATATATATATATATATATATATATATATATATATATGTAATATATTATATATATATATATATATTATATATATATATATATATATATATATATATATATATACCTTCTAGTTTTGCAGTATGTTTGATGAAAACGTTTTCAAACCAATTGGCAAATTGAACTGAAATACAACATCGTCTGGGCCGTTTTGGCACCAGGTAGAATACAAGTGTAAACCTTTATAATTTACAAAGGTTAATACTCTTCTATTGCACCACAACAAACAGGACAGTGTACGTTGATTTTTTTACGGTACCTACAACTTTTTGTGGATTTTTGATCCTTTTCGAGATTCCAACGTCTGTCGGAAGTTGAATATATTTTGTAATTTATTTCCTAAACTATTGTTTATAATAGTGTTTTTCGCTGTCGATAAAAGTCGCCTAACACTTCAGCTGAACGATCTTCAGCGCAGTTCTTGGAAAGGTTTCGAGCAATTCTACAACTTAGTAGGTCCTTCCAACGACTATCAAACTCCGCAATAAAAAATGGTATTAAATTCAAAATTATTAATTTCATGATCAAACGAAACTTTCATGACAAAGGGTATCTTGCAGATATATCCTTAAATATATAATTTGATATACCTATTGTAGATTGCCTTTAAAGAGCATCATAACGTTTGTATGAATGGTTCCGATCTGAGAATCAATCTCAATGAATGGGTTCATTACACGGAACGATATAGCCCACTTCTAATGCGTTCCCTCTCTCTTAATTTCACCATATTTATAGGTACTATTACAATACAATCGTTTCTAAGTAATTATCATAACATATGTATTAGTTTAGTAAGTAAGTAAGTGTATGTTGTGAGTGACGAGAGCCGGCTTGTTACAGAGAGAAGAATGGAGTCCAACACGATAACGTTGACGAGGTTTTTCTTGGCGGAACAACAAAAATTTCCAACAGCCACAGGTGAACTGACCCAGCTGCTGGCTTCTATTCAAACAGCTGTTAAGGTTATCAGTAGCGCCGTTAGAAGAGCTGGTATTACCAAACTGTAAGTATTTTTCCAAGTTGTTTGTACAGGGAAGGATTTAAAATAAATTTGCATTGGGTACTAAATTTTATTAGTAAATTTTGTTTTATGAGTTTTTTTCAAGTCCCTTCTGATAAAAATTTATTTTTACATTTATATGATGTTATACCTAGATGATATTGCAAAAAGTTTAATTTTAATAGTTACGAGCATTTTGTAGTCGATTTTTGATTCTTAAATCTATTCTTATTCTTCTAGAGGTATCTCCATTGCGATATCTCAGCGGGTATATCTATCGATACTATCACCAAGGCAATTTGAACTATCGAGGGGTGGCTGGTGGGAACAATTGTATCCAACTCTAAAGCATAGATTCGATTCCTTCGAAACCAAGGCATAGATATTTTTCCTTCCACCTTTGCGCTTAAATCGAATATTTTCTATCATAATCAATTGTAGCAATTGTCCACGCAAAAATGTACCATATACTATAATTTTATTATTTATTTTATTTATTAAACACCTGTATAGAAACCGACTTGATTTGCGGAATCAAATAAAGCAAAAATATTAAATATTAAAATTATAACATATAAATTTAATATTTAATATTTATTATAAAAATATTAAATATTAAATAAAAATTGCATACGAAAGCTGCTCTGTTCACATTTAAGGCTGTTTTATCGGTACACCAAAACCTAGAGACAGTGTTTTCTCTGTTATTTACCGACAAAATGTCTCGAAATTTGGACAAGTTATTCAAAATTATGTTGCCTTTAAACTGATGGTTTTACTTTTTAAATTTTTTTTTGAAAGTTGCAGTTTAACGTTCTATTATAACCAAACTTTTTACGCCCATCACTTGAAAGAATTTTTTTTCTGTAATCGTTGATTTTTTCTGTGTCCAGTAATAATCGAGAAAACCGTGTTCAAACTTTGAAGAAAATTGCTAAAAAATACTGAAATCTAATAGTGAAACGTGTTACTCACCATTGGCACTTAGTTCTACCGTTATCGCCTTCGTGACGTCAAATCTCATGAACGTACGGTCAGTTAGTTCGATTTAAAATCATGTTCAAGCTATAACTGCGAAATTGTTTATTTGTTTGTGACAACAAATTGTATTTTTTTTGATAATATTATTTTTATGTTATTTTAAATTTATTATAAATAAACACCATGATGTTTTTTGCAGTCACGTTTCACAAATTTTTATTCAATACTATATTTAGCTAAGACATATAAATTAAAAATGTGACAATTCTTTTTAAAATATCTACGATAATCAATCAAAAAAGTTATTCCCGACAAAACTAATTTGAATGGAGAATAATGCATTTGTAGTAATTAAACTACCCGTCGGCCGGCGCCACTGAGTAAAGAGCTGTACCCGTCGGCTAGCGTAAGCAGTGTAGAAAAGTAAGTGATATGCCCATTTCAAATCGCAGTGTGCTTTGACTGCTAAAACAGCCATAAGACGCATTTTGATTTGTGTCGATAGAACACTCTGAACAATAGATATCGAAAATAAAAACAAACAAACGCTTCAAGTGATGTTTCTCAGAGAACGGTTCCTACTACAGAAAAAATGCCTTATTATATCCAGTGGCGGCGCAAGATCATAATTTTATGTGGGCAAAATACATTTTGCGGACAAAATCTAGTCAAACTTACAACTAACCTAAAAATATTTAAGATATTAAGACCTACCATCATTAAAAAAACAATTTAATTTAAATATTATGGGAACAGAAATTTTCTACTTTTTACACTGGTGAATTGTTTGGAACAACAGTTTTTGTTCACATCACAAACAATAAATTAATAAAGTACTATGCTACGTATTTATTATTTTATTAGTAGGTATATTTACAAAACAGAGTTATGAAACAGTAAACCAGTTTTAATTTTTTCAATGGAATATCACGGTGTATGGAGGGAGGCTGTTATTTGACGAATGGGAAATACCCTATTTTGTTTTGGGTGGCGACGTGCAGCGGAAATTCTTTGCTAGCGATAGGAACGCAATTTCAGAGGAATATCTTTTTTTAGGTGACCAGTGAAGTGCAGTGCAGCGGGGATTTCCCGAGAGCGATAGCGACACAAGTTTAAGTAATACATGGCGCAAGGCACCTCGGACCGCGAGGCCGGGGCTGTGACCCCACATCGCCACGCCCTATGCTGCGTCTGGTTATGTCTTTCCTATACTGTTGTACGGAGTTGAGTCGTGGACTCTCACAGACGCTACCTGCAATAAAATTGAGGCTTTCGAAATGTTTTTGGCCTAATCTAATTGTAGAATCCTGAAGATATCCTATACCGACCACGTTACTAACCAGGACGATTTATTAAGAATGCAAAAAGGAAAAGAGTTGTTAACCACAATAAAAACCGCCAAAATCAAATACCTTGGTCACGTCATGAGGAACAGCGAAATATATGGGTTGCTGCAATTAATTCTACAAGGAAAAGTAGAATTAAAATGAGTACCAGAAAGGCGAAGGATTTGCTGACTGAAAAATCTACGTACATGGTTCAACACAACAATAACAGATCTTAATATTGTTCTGAAGCTATTTTTTTGTGGCATTTTAAATTAATTACTATTTAACTGTTCTCATTACTTAAATAGTAATTAAATACCTACATCTTAAAATAGTAGTAAAATACATTTTAAATAGTAATTAATAAAAGATCTTTTCAGAGCAACAGTTTGCAAAATACAGATTGCCATGAAGGTCACCAACATCCGAAACGAATAGGCACTACAAGAAGAAAAAGATATTTTCATATTCCATTGTCATCGATCTAGAGTCACAACATAATTAAAATAAATAATTAAAATAAAAATAATTAAAATGTAATTTGGAATGATGTAAACCCATATATGGAGGTCTCAGCGATAACTTTATTGTTAGCTTCAATTATACAAGGCACTGAGGATGATCTGTTCAGATCGAAAACGTTATGCTAGAACTTAAATTTTGACGACACTTTTTTTAAAAAGTTTTAACTATTTGTTATTATACCACAATACAAGTGTAAAGTGTTTTAACTTCTATGTTTTTTTTATTATTTTCATATGTTTACTCGTTTCTTGCCGAATTGACTCTTATCTTACTTCTTTCATTTATATTTTTTAGAAATAGAATATAAATACAAGTCATTCATCAAAACTAGACTAGTAAACGAACTATAACTGTTACTACTATGAAACAGGTTGTTTACTTGCATTATATTAATATAAAATAAAAGTCATTATTGTAAAATTTCCTATACAAATAGTACATTGTTTACCGGGTAGGAAAAGCTTAACATTCCTGGACGACTGTGAAGATTGCTAAGTCGAGGCGCAAGCCGAGACTTAGCAACACAGAGTCCAGGAATGTGGCTTTTCCTACGAGGTAAACATACTATTTTTCCGCAAATCGTTTAAAATTCGACAGATATTGATTGATTTAAAAAAAAACGCGATAATTTTATTCCCAAATAAATGGTGCTTTGAAATTCCTAATAAAATTACTTGGGTTACTATGGAAACGTATTGAGGTTGAATTGTCAAACTTGACGCTTATAAATTTAATTGCTGGTGTTCTCGAAAGTAAAATGATAAGTGATGATAAAATTTCCATTCCTGGGACTCCTCCAGAGCTGGTTGAGGCAGTGAATACTGCTTCATTAGAATTATTGCCAAAGAAATCAAGAGAAAAGTATTCTATATTCTATCATTTATGTAGAACACTAACAACTGTACGGAAATATCATTTCCTTACAGTAAGGAAATGACATTTCCTTACAGTAAGGAAGTCCTGACTTTTTCTTCAAGAAATTTTGACAGGAATGTCAAAATTTCCTGGCGATTTGCGGAAAAAGTTATTTTTTTTATCAAGAGAGTTTGTTTACCAAAATATCACAGATCTATTTTTATATTGAACCAGATTGTTTTATTTCAAAACTGTGACGTCCAAAATAAAAAACTTAATTGATAAGTAATATAATTGATAAATTTTATTATTGATAAATGATATCGCTGGACTTTAATTTACAAATATATTGCATCAACTATAAATAGTGTTGTCTGTGATAACTAAAAATAATATTCTTACATTAATATGCTTTAACGAATAACTAAGAAATATTGATCGAGATTTTTTTCTACAGAAATTTCCGAAACTGTTTGTTTTCTTGTGGCTCTCATACTAGTGATGTTGCCCGTCGGCTTGCGATCACTTTTATTATTTCGTTAAAAATTTATTTTTTTAAATCTTGTCATTTTTTTTCCAATTTTTTAGAAGTTATAAAGAAAAAATTCGGTGGACTTGCTCAGGCATCCTGAAAAAAATAATAATAACTTCAGTATTTACTATAGTAGACATCCTATCCGACACGAATTTTTTACCGGGTTTATTGTAAGCAGCAAGGTCAAACATAGTGTAATTGATTTCAAAACTATTGATTATAGGATCATGGTTAAAAAACCTAAGAAAATGGTTCTCCACAACAACAACTAATCTATTTAAAGCATTAGTTAATAAAATAATTATAGCCAGAACGATTGCCAATATTTGAAACGAATAGGCACCAAAAGAAAAAGATCATAGGATATGTGGAATAAGACTTAAAGGGAAGTTCGCTAATATTAGCATTAGTAGCATCCATGCTCCAACGGAAGAAAAAGAGGATGATGAAAAAGACATGCTCTATGAGGTACTAGACCGAGAGTACGATGAGTGTCAAAACAATGACACCAAAATAATAACAGGACTCTTTAATGCCACAGCAAAAGACAGCCTACACGTGGACTCTAATGATAATGGTCTCAAAATCATAAACTTTGCGATATTTAAGAACGTGCTAATAGCTTAGAACGATTTCCCCATAAAGCTATACATAAGGGAACTTTGAAATCTCCTGATAATGAAACGATTAACCAAATAGATCATAGAGTCATCGATGCAAGACACTGCTCTAACTTATTAGATGCTAGGTGTTTTAGAAGAGCAAACATAGATAGTGATCACTATTTAGTTAAAGCACGATTTAAAGCAAGAATATTCAATTTATAAAAGGAGAACAAAAAATCGACATTAATAAACTAAAAGATACCGACATTGCAAATGTATACAGACAGCAAATATAAGATCAAATGACAGAAAACTTAAAAGAAGAAGACATTAACCAACTATGGGCAAATATACGAGATATTGTGTTACAGAAATGGGTTAAAATATTGGGAAAACCAAGTCAGAAAAAGAAATCATTGGTTTGATCATGAGTGCGAAATGGCCACAAATAGAATGAAAGCAGCATATAAAAAAACCATCGACGCAGGTAGTACAAGGAGAAAAAAGAAGAGTATAGACATCTTAGAAGAGAGGAAAAACATATCCATCGACGTAACAAGAGGGAACAGGAACAGAACACTCTTGTGTTCTCCTGTTCTCGTGCACAACGGATTGTCGAACCACTTATGATGATGATCAAAGGAAAATTCGGTGGCGCCCTTTTTCGGCAATTAGATCATCATTTGTTTCTTTGTTTTTTTCATTTAGTATCTTTGGTTTAGCTCTAGTAGCTATTATCTTGTATTTTTTTTCTTTTCTTTCTTCCAATTGTATTTCAGTTTGAGTACCAAATAACCACGCCATCTTTTTGGAGTCTGAGCATAGCTACCTCGTTCATTTTGCGTGCCACAAAGTATCCAACACCTGTTTGTAACAGACTTAATCTTCTTCTTCTTCTTCACGTGCCATCTCCGCTACGAAGGTTGGCTATCATTCACAATTGTACACACAATTGTATGGAAGTGCAAGCAAACCAGTCTCTGAGGTTTCTCAACCATGACATTCTTCTCCTACCTATGCTGCGCCTACCTTCAATCTTTCCTTGCATAATTAGTTGTAACAGTTGATATTTATTCCCACGTGTATTATTCCCAGGTATTGTAGTTTCCTCATTTTAACACTCAATACGACCTCCTTTTGTTTGTTCATCCTGTCTAATACAACTTGGTTAGTTATCTTATCCTTCCAGGAGATTTTCAACATTCTTCGGTACGCCCACATCTCAAATGTGGTAAGTTGATATTACTGATACGTTTCTTTGTAATTATCATGAATTTGGTCTTCTTAGTAATCTCTGTAGGTCGTCAATATTTTCTGCTATGAGCGCGGTATCATCAGCATATCGGATATTGCAAATGGGGTGACCGTTGATCTTTACTCCGGCTTTTTCGTTCATAAGAGCTTTTTTAATAACTTCTTCCGTGTAGACATTGAACAAGGTTGGAGACAACACACAGCCCTGCCGAACACCTCTCTTCTAAGACTTTTTCGGACTTAATCTAGTTCTATACTATTATGAAAATGTGAAAGTGTTGCTTGTAACCTATTTAACTTAACGTTTATAGTTTTTTCTCTCAAAGTTAGAGATGCGGCAGAGAAAAAATTTGTCCCTGGCAAAACGAAAAAATATAAACTATGCAAAAAAATACAAGGCTCAAACAATGTAAAAAAATAGTGTTAGTGTGTTTTTAACAAATTTCATTATTTCGTAGGTTTGGTACCGTAGGGCAAACAAATGTACAGGGAGAAGAAGTTAAAAAGTTGGACGTGTTGGCCAACGAATTATTTATCAATATGCTCAAGTCGTCTTATACAGTAGCTTTGCTTATATCTGAAGAAAATGAAACAATTTTAGAGGTAAGCAAACTTTGGCTTCTTCATTGAACATTATTTATGCCAAAAGTTTATCCAATATAAGAAGGCTAAAGCAGTGGCGGCTCGTGGCTTGAGAGACAAGGTCGGCAAGGTATTTTTTGTCTCCACAGATAGGTATACCGTCCAATAAAGACTTCAATCATCATAGGAGATTTTTTGTTTTCTTGTTTTTTTGTTTTTTTTTTGTTTTTTCCTTTAAATTTAGAACCTAAACATGTTTATAAATTAACTCTAGTGTACGTTGTTTGGAAGTAGCAAAATAGGTAATAACGTCATCGTAAAATTTATTAGAGTTTTGAAGAGATTTTAAAAGTTTTTTTTTCTATTGACATTTGAGACAAGCTTGACATTCTCTCTTGTTTCATGGTATTTCGACAATAATTTTTATTCTTTTGAGGCAAGAGAAATCTCGTTCATTTGAGGCAGACGTTGGTGGTAATGAGAGAATTAATGACAATAATGTTGGATATAGATAAATACATTTGAATATTTTCTAGCAGTGTCATCTATTGGCTACTTTCCTAGTTGAATAATGTATCACTTTCCTTTTTTAGGGTAGTAGCAAAATTACAGTCATAGAGTAAACACGTGTTTCATTTTGTTCATCAAATCCCATTTTTGTTCCAGAACTTTATAATTTCTCAATAAATAATTTATTAATTTCGGTAACAGTTTGTTGTAATGAATTGCAATATATAAAATTATACATATCTTGTAACTTATCCCATCTTCCGAAAATATTTGGATCAGCATATAAAACTTTTAATTCATTTTCTAATTTTATTTTATTAAAGAATGATGGATAATTTTTAATCAACCTGTCTAAAAAATATCTTGGAAATTCTTTGGCGTAACCTTTAAATTTTGAATCGTCAAAGAGGTCAAAAATTTGCAAATCTTCAAAATTCGAAAAACGAGTATATATTTGCATAATAATAGTATCCAAAATTTCAAAATATAGGTACTCCTTTTTCGAGATCTGTTTCTTTGTCATGCCTTTATCTTTTTTTGGGGGGTTCGGAAATATCAAGCGAGTCCAAAACGTCACTGCGTATATACTGGAAATTACTATCATTACGAAAATCTGACTGAGATTTTGCACCAGTCTTGTTATTCTATTTTTGGAATGAATAATGTCAGTTAACTGATTTTGAACAACATTGAATATCAAATCGGTTTGGGTAAACACTTCCTTAAAAATATTTAAAAGTATGTTAAAAGAGTAATCATTTAATAAAGTTTTCAAACCGATTGCTTTATGGATCGAGATATCATCACTTTCAAAATCGTCACATTCAATAATAAAATCAAAAACTTTCAAAAACTGTTCACGAAAATCTGCTACAGTGAAAACTAACCGAGATTTAAAATTCCATCGCGTCTGACAAACTGTTGGCATTTTTTTCGAAACAAACCGTTCTAAAACATTAGTCCGTTTAGGCAAGCTTGAGAAAAATGAAGCAAATCCGCTTAAACTGGCAAAAAAAAGACGACATTCTTTAAATTTTTTAACATGTATCTTGCAAAACTAAATTCATTCTATGCTCATGACAATGAGTAAATAAAGCTTGCGGTGCAATAGTTTTAACTTTTGCCTGGAGACCATTTAATTCACCAAACATCACGGCAGCGCCGTTATAAGTTTGCCCTACCAATTTATTTTTGATATCAAAAAATTTTAATTTGTCCTTTAAAACACCAAAAATATGTTCTGCCTTATGGCTTTTACTCACGTCTGTAAAACCTAAAAATCTTTCATAGATATTACCACGTAACGCGTATTTAACAACAATTGACAATTGTCAATGACATGATATGTCGGTAGTTTCATCTACTTCTAGTGAAAAGCAAATGATTTCCTGAATCTTAGATTCAATAATGTTACTCAAAATGTAACTAATTAATTCTTTTAATTCCTTCTGGATTGTTTTAAAACACCGCTAAATGTCTTCGAATCAGAAAGTAAATTAGAAAATTCCAAATCGTATTTCTTAAACATTTTTATTAGTTCTCTATAATTACCTTGATTTAACGAATGATCCGATTCATCGAGTCCCCTAAAAGATAATTTCTGACAACTTAAAAAAATTACAATATCAATTAAACGACGTAAAACTGCGTGATTATTTTTTACAATTTCATTATGTTTAATAGCATTTTCACGTTGGGCATTATCTAATAAAACATGGATATTTTGTTTTCCACATAAATCTAATTTAATCTGACGCGTTTATGTAAAGCCCTAAATAATTCCTTTAAATTATCGTAACCCGATTCACACCACGGATTTTGATGTTTGCCCCTATTTGTCGAAACTAAAATGCAAGGCCAACAAAAAAGTTTGTTTTTTATTTCACTCCCAGTAAGCCATGAGTACTTGCTGTACCAATTATCTGAAAATGATCTATTACCTCCCTTACCTGCACTAATATTTATAAGTCGGAACATTTTAGGCAAAGGACGCTCCTTATTTTTAATAACAATTTGTTCTTCGTATGGAATTGATGAAAACATATTATGCAAAATATAATTTACAATATCAGACTTATCAATACTTACAGTTTCTCCCATGGCTTGCATTTTTTAGGTGTTTACTGAATTTGTTTACACTTTAATTAAAAAAAAACTTCTAATATGTCAAAAAAACCCTTTAACCGTTAACTATTTACGGCAGACGTAACGTATCACAGTATTACTTTAGAAAATAAAAATAAATCACAAAAAGATAGGCTAGTTCGTGCACTGAATATTACTTCAGTTTACTACTATATAAAAATAAAATAACATTTCGTCCCACGCTCGCAATGTACAGTGCGCGACCAGTCACCAATCCAAATGAAACATCGGCAAATTTAAATCTGCCGGACTTAGTAATTAAGTTCATATGGAAAGAAATGTATATTTGGTTGCTAATCAACCAATATTCCGTTGATTTTTACAAGTAAAGTCAAGGTTGGGATCGGCTAGCCGAAAAAACAAAACGTGCCTTTTCAAGAATTCATAGGCGGATGGATGTCTCCGATATCGGAACATTTATTTAAAAAGTGTCTACGCAAGGATCACTTAACGCTCAGATTGGACGAATTCTTTTAAAAACCATGAATAAAATTTAGTCTGGTCGAATTCTTTTAAAAACCATGAATAAAATTTAGTCTTTATTATCTCACAGATATTTTTTTAGTTCACAAAAACAAATGACATCAACTGATTACCTGCCACAATTATATATTGAAATACTGATTAAATTAAATATTAAAATAATCTATAATATCTATAAAGATGTGGGTCGGCACTGCCGACCCTGCCGACCCTGACCGGCCGCCACTGGGCTAAAGAATAACAGTTAAACATGTGAAGGAATGTAATAATGAAAGCAGGCCCTAAAAGGGATAAAATCAAAGATAATCGTAAGACTTATTTATAAAAATTATATTAATACCTTTTTTTTTGTAGGTAGAGACTGAACACCGAGGAAAGTATATAGTAGCCTTCGATCCATTAGATGGTTCCTCGAATATCGACTGTCTAGTATCCATAGGTTCAATTTTCGCCATTTACAGAAAACCCGATAACACAGTCCCAGCTCTCGACGACACTCTAATGTCTGGAAGGAATGTAGTAGCTGCTGGATATGCCCTCTACGGTAGTGCAACTATGCTGGTTATATCTTCTGGATCTGGCGTGCACGGTTTCATGCTGGATGCAACCATAGGAGAATTTGTTTTGACTGAACAAAATATGCAAATTCCGAAAAAGGGAAAAATCTATTCGATAAACGAAGGTTACTACCATGAATGGGACAACGCCGTAAGAGAATACATTGATGCTAAGAAAGATCCTTCTAAGGGGAAACCCTACGGTGCCAGATACGTCGGTTCAATGGTGGCTGACGTTCACAGAACTATTAAGTATGGAGGAATCTTTTTATACCCGGCAACGAAGTCTTCACCTAAGGGCAAGCTTAGACTGATGTACGAATGTGTTCCAATGGCCTATTTGCTCGACCAAGCCGGAGGATTAGCTACTGACGGCAAGATTAATATATTAGATATTACTCCTACTAACCATCATCAGAGAACACCTATCTTTTTGGGATCCAAAGAAGATGTTGAGGAGGTGCAAAGCTATATCAATAAACATTGTGAATGCAAAAAATAGGTTAAGAGATTTGTTTGAATAAAGTTTGTTTATTAGTTATATTATTTGAAAGTTCCCAACAAACGGTTTAACATACGTAAATAATTTATCATTATCATCATTATTCTGGCTTTACAACCCTGCTTGAGTCCTAGCCTCCTCAAGAATTTCTCTCCACTATTCCCTATCCATCAATTTTCTCAGCCAAGCACGTATTCTCATGTCTTCATCGATGTTGTCAAGGAACCTTATTCTGGGTTTTCCTCTTCTTCTCTGACCAATGGGTCTATCAAAGAGCATTACATGCCCTATCCACCTCAGACGTCCTATCTTCATATGTTTTACGATACCTGGTTCCTGGTATATTCCATGAAGTTCAAAGTTGTATCATCTTCTCCACAGTCCATTGTCATTCATTGCTTTTTGTTAGTAAGTCCAGGTATCTAAATCATATGTTGGGACTGGGCGTATTATTGTTCTGTAGCATATGCTGATGACATTGACATAGTAGGGCGTAGCAAGCGAGATGTTGAGCAATATCTCCTAGAATTGGAAACTGTCTAGTCATCAACGAAGACAAAACCAAGTACATGTTGGTTACAAAGGATCCGATAGCAAATGAGGAACGAGAAACAGTCTTTGGAAGTCATACCTTTGGACGTGTTGACAACTTCACATACCTTGGGTCGCTATTGACTGCTACCAATAAAACAAGCGAAGAAATCAAAAGACGAATAAATATTACAAATAGAGCATACTATGGACTCCAAAAGCATTTCCACTCAAGAAACATTCAAAGAAGAACTAACATTATTATATACAAAACATTGCTGAGCCGGTCCTCACATATGGAGCAGAAACATGGACTCTAACGCAGAAAGATGAAAGACTTTTGGGAATATTTGAGCGTAAAATACTCCGCAAATATTTGGAGCTGTAAACGACCAAGGGCAGTGGCGCAGAAGATATAATTTTGAATTGTATCAGCTCTTTGATGAGCCAGATGTTATAACGTTCATTAAAATACAGCGACTTAGATAGGCTGGACACATAATACGAATGCCAGAAAATACCATTGCTAAAAAGCTAACCACAGGAACACCTGTAGGAAAAAGAAACAAAGGCCGACCGCGAATTAGGTGGTTAGATGGAGTTGAAACCGAATTACGAATATTAAAAATCAGAAGATGGCAACATGTTTACAAAAACCGAACAGAATCACGACGAATCTTAGAGCAGGCCAAGATTCACAGAGGATTGTCTGTGCCTGTCTCTTTCACCTGTCGAATCAACTTGCGGGCGATACTCTCAATGTAACTCTAAATGACACAACTATCAAACATAACAACAACCCCAAATATCTAGGCGTCACACTTGATAGAACACTCACCTTCAAAAGTCATCTTACAAACGCAGCCGGTAAACTAAGAACACGAAATAACTTAATATCAAAACTTGCTGGAACAACTTGGGGTGCTTCTGCAGATACTCTTCGGACCTCTGCTCTAGCTTTGGTTTTTTCAGTGGCAGAATATTGTGCACCAGTATGGCTAAATAGTGCACATACAAGTAAAATCGATGTCCAACTTAACCAAACCATGAGAATAATCACTGGAACAATAAAATCAACGCCAGTGAGATGGCTGCCTACTCTGAGCAATATTGCTCCACCAGATCTACGCCGTACAGCAGCATTAGTGAGAGAGTACCAGACAATTGTAACCAACGTACAATTACCAATACATCAAGATATCCCAGACATCTCAAAAGAGCACCAACGATTGAGATCTAGAAATCCTCCAATACGATCTGCCCGAAAAATTGGTAATTCCTATGATATACATAGTCAATGGACAACAAGATGGATGCCAACAGTAGAATCGGACTATATTAAGATATCCACCCCAACTCAGGGTTTCATCGGATCAAATCTGCCCCGGTCCATTTGTCGTACGGACATACCGGACATGGTAAATGTGCTTATTCGCTGTTCAGGTGGAGTCGTGCAGAAAGTCCACAGTGCGATTGCGGAGAATCTAGACAGACCATAAACCATTGTGTTTCAGACTGCTTGAATCGTGCCTACCGTGGAAACCTCCAGGACTTTGCGGAATGTTCCCCAGAAGCAATTGAATGGCTATGTAAATTGGACATTAATATTTAGTGTCATTCATTCTATTCATTCTATTTTTACTATTTTTAGTGTTTGAATAATATATATAATATATTTGTGTATATTATTGTAATTGTATTTGTATATTTATCGTACTGTGAAAGTCCATACGCTAAATAAAATTGTTCTGTAGAGTTTTATTTTTGTATTTCTCGATATAATTGTGGATTTTAGGAGCAGATTTAGCCTAAAATAACATTTTTTGGCCTTGCAAATTTCTTAATATGAATTTATAAAGTCGCTATATTTAACCACTATCTTTAATTTCAATCTTCCGTGAAGAATCTTATGCTAGTTAGAGCAATTGTCAGATATAATGAACCAGAGAGGTGTATGTTGAAAGAATAGATAGAATTATGACCTGTAATTACTGATAAAATAAGTAAAATTGTTTAAAACAGTTATAAAGATGTTTAAAGATTCATAATAATAATGATGATAGTTTAATAATGGCTCCATTAATAGAATCATTAGATGTTAACGTTTCTTTTAATTATTTTCTGGAATGGGCAATCTAAAATAATATGCTTCCTTAGGGATTACTTTTTCTGTTTATAAATGACAATCTTTGTTTATAAGTCTAAGATCTCTTATTCCTCATTTTTCCAAAACTATCGTTTTAAGTTATTTCTCATGTCACACCATAAGGGCCGTGCTGTGTACTCACTTTAGTCCGAATATCTTCAGATTTAATATAAAAATTTGTTCAATACACATGCAGCGGAGCTAGAGCCAGCCCTGTTATATAGAAATTTCTTTTACAGTTTTAATAAAAAATTTTATCTGTGGTTATATTTTTATGAAGACTGTACCAGGTTGTTACTTTTTACGGTAAATCTGGAGAGAAATTGTAGTGCCTTTAGAATAACTTCAGTAGAACTGTAGAGAATTAAATGAAAAACTTTATGAAAGTTTATATTGTTACAAAAATTATTGGCATAAGTCTTAGAGGAAAATACCTATAAAGGAAAATAACAAAATAGATACATCTTATGTTTTACAACTTACTTCAGTATTCGTAGTTCTTACTTTATACAAAATAACCATAATTACGTCAACAGTCTTGTCACCAGTCAACTGCAGTCAACTTCAATTTCAAATAATTACAATTTATAAACAAAAATGGCACGTCAGCAACAAGACGTGGACGAACTTTTCGAAATAAAAAATTATTTTTATATTGGAAATTACCAACAATGCATAAACGAGGCACAAAAACTGAGAAAGGTAAAGATTCTATTTTTTTTTCAACATATACTTGCCTAACATAACCTATTTTAGCCGTCAACGCCCGAAGTAGCCATCCAAAGAGACTTCTACACCTACCGGTCCTATATGGCACAAAATAAATTCCTAGTAGTATTAGATGAAATCCACGGGGCATCTCCTCCAGAAATCCAACCCCTAAAATACCTCGCTGATTACTTAGCTGGTAAAATCAAGAAGGATTCTGTGGTCGCCCAAGTGGAGCAACAAGTACAAGCGAATGCTAACAATGATACTCTAATTTTGGTAGCAGCTACTATTTATGTTAACGAAGGCAATCTTGAAGCTGCATATAAAGTTTTGCACGCCACAGAAAGCCTCGAAGCAATGGCGTTTATTATAGATATACTTTTAAAATTGGATAGAGTAGATTTGGCAAGGAAGAAGCTCAAAGAAATGCAAGATAAGGATGATGATGCAACTTTAACACAACTGGCTCAAGCTTGGATTAATGTTGCCACTGTAAGTATGTTTGAAGTATTCAACTGACAGTACAAAAATATAATATGAAAAACTTGTTGAATTTTTATACCAGAACAACTAGAATCAAATGATGTTCCAAGAATACTAATTAAGTCATACTGGGTTTGTTTCAGGATACAGGATCTGTTTTTCCAGTTTGCTTGATTCTTGTTCCTGGTTCATAGCTAACAAATTATATTTTTATTTCTATTGTTTATATTACTGGTTTTTGCATCCAGCTGAATTCATAGACTGTTTCCATGTTATTTTGTTAGGTTTGCACAGATTCACAATATTTCTTCTATTTAGAAATAAGTCCAGAACCATTACCAACTACCCTCTGGGTATCAATGCTAAAAATTCCCAGAGCGCATCCCCCTTTCGCAAGGGCCATGCCTCATAGAAGAACTGATAAAAACTACCACAGGAAGTGGTTTATTATTATCATTAATTCAATAATTAACAAAAAGTTAACATTTGTTTTTAATCTTTATTTTAGGGTGGAGATAAACTCCAGGATGCCTACTACATTTACCAAGAACTTGTAGACAAATATGGATCCACTCCATTGTTACTAAATGGACAAGCAGTGACTTTCATTGGTCAAGCCAAATATGAGGAAGCCGAAGCTGCTCTTCAAGAAGCACTTGATAAGGATGCCAACTATCCTGATACACTTGTTAACATGATCACCCTTCAGAGACATATGGCTAAAGCACCAGAGGTATGTTTTTTCAGTTAATTCAAAACAAATTAAAGACTTGTGGCAACTGTAAACAATCGAAGGTGTTGTGTTGTTGACTTTTGGTATTTTATATCAATTTTGGCCTTTTCTTCAATTATCTATTCCGTTATCTTCAATTATTATCTAGTACTTATTATGGTATTTCCATTTGTATTTTTTATTGGTATATATTGTCTCCATCTTTCCCACCCAGCTAAATTTAAAGGAAATTATTTTAAAGCAATATTGTCAATATTTTTGGAATGAGTTCATAGGAGGACTTAATTGAACGATAGTTTATTCAATCCTTGCCTTATAGTAACTAAAGTGATTTGTATGATGAGTGTTTCTATTTCTTATGTTTATATTGTGTATTTGATCTTGCACTTACTTTTATTGTTTTATTCTAAGCTACAAAATGTGAATACTTAATATTGTTTTATTATTTTTTTTTAGATTGCTAATAGATATCTATCTCAGTTGAAAGATGCAAATCCTGATCATCCATACATTCGTGATCTGAAGATAAAAGAAAATGATTTTCACAGGATTTGTCAGCAATATTCCCCTTCAGTTTCAGCCATTCCAGCTTAAATGTATTATTTTGTATATAATTATTAATAAATATTTAATAAATGTAAATTTCAGATAAAGAGTAGTTTTATTTCTAAGCCTATCTGCTATTTTAAAGGAAGGTGGATAAAACATGTAAATTTTAAGTGTGTCAAATTGTTTATTTCTCATTGGACATTCTCTTTCTTTATTAGATAGATGTTTTTTGAAGACAAAAGCAGATAATTTATTGAATAGTCTACAGGACACCTGTATTAATATTATAGGAGCTAAAAAAGACAAACACAACTAGGAAGCTGAAATGTCTTCCACAAGCAGCTGTTGCTCGTTCTTGGAAGAAGAAATGGAAATAGATGTCAATATAAAGTGGAAAAAAATAAGAAGAAAAAAGAACATGAAGCAAAATATTTATCATATCCAAGAAAAAAGGCATACAATTATCTCAATAACAAACCCAAAACAAAATATTATATTCTTCTGCCTACTACTACTACTACTAAGGATTTCCAGTTTTCACTGTCTTCCTTCACTCAACCGTTTTCTCCAATTTTCCCTGTCATTCCAGTCTCCATCTCGCAGGGTTCTTTTCTCCATAGCCTCGTCGATTTCGTCTCTGAATGACCTTCGGGGTCTTCCTCTCTTTCTTCTTCCGATCGGGCTCCATTCTGTGATTTTGTTTATCCAGCGTCCTCTGTCCGCTGTTCTGACGTGGCCGTACCAGGATAGTCTCTTCTTCTCTATATAGTCGATTATGTCTGATTGCACTCCCATTCTCCTCTTAATCTCTGCGTTTTCAATTCTGTCTCTTTTGTAAGTCTACAGCTTCTCCTCAGGAACTCCATTTCTACTGCTCTTATTCTACCTCTATGTCTCTTGTTTATTGTCCAGTTTTCGGACCCATACGTCAGGATACTTCTTGTCAGGGTATTATATATTCTCTTTTTTGTCTTTATCGTAATGTTCTTATCCCACAGCACTGATTTAGTTGTCTTATACAGTTTCTTGTTTGTCTTAGTCTGTTGTTTATATCTTCTTCTGTTGTTCCCTAGTTCGATATTATGGTTCCTAAATACTTGAATTTATCTGTTCCATTTACTTGTCTTCCCTCGTCTATCTCTAGGTTTCTTATATCCTTGTTTTCTGTTGTTAGGTATTCGGTTTTCTCTAAGTTTATTTCCATTCCGTTGTTTTTATAGTCTTCTTCTAGTTTTCTGAGCATAAAGCTGAGATCTTCTTCATCTTGTGCGATGACTACTTGATTGTCGGCAAAACTGAAGGTGTATAGGCATTCGTCTCTTACTGGTATGCCCATTCCTTCGCACTTTCTCCTCCATGGTTTGAGTGTCTTTTCCAACAATATTTTAAACAGAGTAGGGGACATAGCACAGCCTTGTAGAAGTCCTTTTGTCGTCTTAAATGGATTGTAGGCTTTATTTCCACATTTAATAGCTATCTTGTTTTCTTTGTACAGTGCTTTAACTGCTTTTATTAGTGTTTGTCGGATTCCGAGATCATTCATTGCTTCCCATAATTTGACTCTAGGTATTGAGTCGTATGCTTTCTTTAGATCAACAAACGCCAGATGGACCGGTCTACCTTTTGCCATTTTCTTCTCTATCAGTTGTTCTAATGTGTACGTATGATCTAGGCATGATTTTCCTACTGTGAACCCTGCCTGGTCTTCTCCAATTTTTCCTATTATTTCAGTTTCTAGTTTTTCCTTGATAATTTTCCCGTAAAGTCTACCTACCGACGATATTATACTAATACCTCTGTAGTTTTCACATTTTTTCCTGTTTCCTTTCTTATGTATGGATGTGATGTATGCTTGTGTCCATTCCGCAGGTATTTCCTCTCCATTTAGTCCTCTTTCGAACATTCTGTGTAGCATGCGTAATAACTTTTCCGTTCCGTTTTTAATTAGTTCGTTTGGTATCCCTCCGCGTCCTTTGGCTTTTTTGTTCTTCAATGTCTTGATTGCTCTCTTGACTTCTGTCAGACTTATTTCTATCTGGTCGTATGTCCCATTTCCTGCATGTTCTGTATTCTCTTCCTGAAATTGGGGACGGTTTTCTGTAAGTAGTTCTTCGTAGTATTCTTGCCACTCGTTTTCACTAATTTTGCCGATCTGGGTTTTCTCTGTCTTATTTCGTTGGAGTTCTTTTAATATTCGCCATGATTCTGAATTTCTCGTTCCTCCTATATGTCGTTCTATCTCTGTGCATGCTTGTTCCCATCGTTCGTTCTATTCATTTGTTACTCTTTTCTTTACCTCTCTGTTTTTCGCTCTATATAGGTCTAAGTCTTCCTGTTTTTTGGTGTTTAGGTATTTTATGTGTAGTTTTTTCTTTTCTTTTATACATTTCAATGTGTCTTCCCTTAATTTGATATTCTGATGGGTGTTCCTTTGGTCGTCTTCTCCAAGAGCTTCTAAGGCCGCTGAAATCAGGCAGGTTTTTATGTGTTGATGCATTTCATCTAACGTGTCATATCTGAATTCTTCTAGTTTTTATTCTAGTCTTCGTTTGTATAGATCTTTTATTGATTCTTCCTGTAATAGATGTAATTTGAGCTTCTTTTCGTTTATTGTCGTTCCCGTTGTAACAATCGATGTACATATGTTTTTGTTTTGTCCAGATATAGGGGAATTCCATCCATGCCACCACAAGTTTGTGATCTGTTCCACACTCTGCCCCTCTTTTCACTCTGGTGTCTTTCACTTTGATGGAGCTTTTGTGGTTCATGATAATGTAGTCAATAATGGATCTTAGTTTTCTTGTCTCTTGAGTCCATGTGTAGGTACTTATGTATATTTTTGTGTTTGTAGAATCCGTTCATAATTTTCAAATCATTTCTTCTGAAAACCCAATAAATTAATCTTAACCAAATTCTCAAAAAAAAAAACTTAATATGTTCAAAGCCACAAAAAAAATGTAATTAACACATGCTGCTAGTCGCTACAGAAAAAAAAAAACATGAATAAAAGTAATTTAATTTGCTAATTTTTGGAATGCAAGAAATATAAACTCCTTTGACGTGATAATAAAAAGTAGAAGTAAAACACAGCTGAAATCATTAGTCCAGTCAAAAGTGGACAAATGATACAAAGAAATAAGCTGGTAACCAAAATTAATCAACACCAAATAATTTATATCACACAAGTCTCGCCTGTGTCTTATAAAGGGTTGTAAAGCTAGAATAAATGTGATAAAAACAAACTTTATTTACATATGGTATATTACAGATTTTTTACTAGAGTATTTTATTGGTTTTTTATTTTTTGTGCCGAAGATTGAGCTCTGTATACAATACCGCTACATAATGTTATAAAAATAGCCGAAATGGTGTACACACTATGCATACCTAAAAACTGCAGAGCTAGACTACTGATCATAGGGCACAAAAGATCAGACAAACTTTGTATGCTGTCAAAACAACCCAACACTACAGCTTTTTCGTCATTTCCAATCTTTTGCAGCAGCAGTTCCATTGTAGTATTATCCGTTTGTACTCTACTGCAAGAAATAATTAAAACAAAAGAAATATAGATCCAAAGATTAGAAGTTACACCTAGTACTCCATTGGCAGCTGCTAACAATAGACAACTGTGAAAGATCCTTCTATAGCCGATATCTGCACTGTAGTATCTTTTGTTAATTTTTAGCAAGGCGATGTTTGATAAGACAGTGACAATACATATAATTGTGAACATATAAGCTATGTTTTTCTGTTTTATTCCTAAGCTGTTGAAGATCAGCACCATATTCATATCGGGTATACCGTAACTGATCGCGGTTAAAGTTTTGAGAAGGAAGACATGAGAGTATGTTGCAGATGTAGAGTAGGCCTTGAGGTTTCTTAGTGCTGTAATAATTTCTTCAAGTACTGGTTTTGAAAGCTCTGATTCTTCTTTTTTGTTTGGTTGAATTACGGGTAAAAGTTTTACAAATCCTAGAAAAAGAAAAAAATTAATTTTGCAATATTAGACTAGGATTATTGTCCTGTGACATTTATGCAGAGTTGCCCCTGTGACATTTATGCAGAGTTGCCTGGGGTAGTGTAAATGTAGCTAAGGAAGAGTGGATGAAAGAAAAATGTAAAGAGGTAGAAGATCTGCAAAGGAAGCATAAAGATAGAGAATTACACAGAAAGGTGAAAGAAGTCGCTGGGATATGGAAACCCAAACATTTATCTATTGTAACAAACACGAAAAACCAAATGGAATTAGACCCTGAAAAACAGAAGGAAATATGGGAACAATATCTTAAAGATTTGTTTGGTGATCGGAGAGCAGAAGGGCCCCCACAAATAGATACCGATGGAAAACTAAGTATTCTAACCGAAGAAGTTATGCGGGCAATAAAAGACGCAAAGAACAACAAGGCACCCAGCGAAGATCTAACAACAGCCGAACATTTTAAACACCTGAGTGATGATGCTGTCGGGAAATTAAACCACCTCTTTAACAATATATATGAACATGGCACTCTACCGCATGACTGGCTAACATGTAGCTCTTCCTAAAAAACAAAAAGCAAGGAAATGTGAAGACCATCGAACTGTATCCCTAATGAGTCATGCCGCTAAGATTTTTATGCGAAGCACGTGGTGTTCGTGTGTATTGAGGTATAAAAAAAGCGCTTATTAAAAGCTTAAAATTTTTTATTATAAAGAAGATCTTTTCGGAATTGCATCATTCCATCATCAGTTTAATAAAAAGTTGTTAAAAAACATTGTGTGGCCACATAAAAAACATTCGATGGACATCTGGATTTAAAAAATAATCTTCATGTTATTTATTCAGGTAAATGCAATAGACTCTTAAATTTTATACCTCAATACCCACGAACACCACGTGCTTTGTATTAAACAGGTATACTAGCCACTCCTGGATATCTCCACTTCATGGTTTGTTCCAGTTTCACTTTTAAAAATTTTTATGCGAGTAATTTATAACCGCATTCACAATAAGTGTGAAGAATACCTGAGTAGTTCTCAATATGGTTTTAGGAAAGGTACAGGCACCAGAGAAGCAATAATGGGATTGACACTAATGGCAGAAAGGTATCTCGAGGTTCAAAAACAGCTGTATGTGTGCTTTGTCGATTATAGAAAGGCCTTCGACCGCATTAGACACGAAAAACTTATTGAGGTGCTAAAAGAAGTAGAGCTGGACGGACACGACATAGCTATAATAAGCAATACATACTGGAATTACACAGGATGTGTTCGAACAGACAACGGAAATACCAATTATGTAAACATAGAACGAGGAGTGCGTCAAGGGTGCATTCTGTCCCCTCTTCTATTTAATGTCTATGCCAAAAATATCATCAGAGCTTCTCTTGAAGATCGCCCTGAAGGTGCCAAAGTCAATGGAATCATCATTAACAATGTAAGATATGCCGATGACACCGTAGTATTAGCAGAAACAGAAGACCAACTAAAAATATTGATGAACATACTATCAGAAGAAAGTCACAGACTAGGTTTGGATATTAATCTTTCCAAAACCAAAATCATGGTATTCTACAAGAACCTCCATGAACAAATTACACCCAACATACAAATCAATGGTATCACCCTTCAGAGCTCCCAAAGCTTCATATACCTGGGCAGAGAGCTAAACAGTCAGCTAGACCACTCAAAAGAAATTAGAAGACGTATTAAAATAGCAAGATCTGGCTTCATGAACATGCGTAAAATGCTCTGTAACCCCAAGCTATCAATCACAATAAGGTTAAGAACACTAAAGTGTATGTGTGGTCTCTACTACTATATGGCTGTGAGACCTGGACATTAAAACAGTATGACGTCAACAAACTGAATTCATTCGAAATGTGGATGTACCGCCGAATGCTAAGAATAAGCTGGACCAGCAAAACTACAATGAAGAGGTACTGGAAATAATGAACACACGACCTCATCTGGTTAATACAATCAAAATTAGAAAGACGTCATATCTAGGACACATAATACGCCATAACGAATTTGAGCAGCTCCAGGTAATATTAGAAGGCAAAATCGAGGGTAAAAGGGGTATAGGAAGAAAGAAGAAATCCTGGCTCCGAAACATCAGAGATTGGACTCACACAACAGGAAATGATTTAATCCAATAGCAAATAAAGAAATAATTTTAATAAATGAAGACAATTTTTTAGCAAACTCTCTCGTTAAATGTAACAGGATCTGGCAGTTAGTATAGGAATTTGAAGTCGAAAAGGAGGTAAATAGAAGAATAGAGTTAAAAACTATTGGTCGTTATTAAAACTTATTTGAACTCACCTAAGCTTAAAATACTGTTTAGGATAATAATACTGTATAGGTAAAAGAATCCATTGGATAGTTCCAAAAGATGCCCAGAAAGTAAAGCTGCTCCCACTCCAATCAAAGCAGCGATTATACCCAGCCTGCTAACATGCTGTGCCTGGTTTTCGGCATCTAATTGTGTTATAATGGTGCGCAGGATTATTTGACTAGGACTTCCAATAGCTAAGAAAAGAAAAAAAGATGCAATTTAAAATTTTACCAATTATTTAGATTGATTTATGTGCTTCTGCTGTGATTTTCAATCCAAATGAGATTGTACATTGCGACGTCAAACAGTAAAAAATTATGAATATGTTAATACTTACATGCTATTAATCTGGCGAAAAATAAAAAGTATAGAGATCCACTTAAATAGGATAATATCGTACCGACCAATCCTCCAAACAAACACCAAAATAACAGTAGAGTGGGGCCTTTTTCGTCACTGAGACGACCCTAAAAATTTTGGAAATTCACATCTCTTACATTACATTTGGTACTTTTTGTGACTAAACAAGTCTTACCGCTATGGGCTTCCATAAGAAACTAAAAAACGCCGTGGCTGTTCCTGTGATGCCAAAGAATGTATAAGGTCCATCAAGAGCTAGGACTTGTGGAACATAGACCGAACTAAAGCAAACAAAATTTGCAATGTCCTGAAAATAAAAAAAAAATTATTGTTATATGACTTGTTTTATAAAAATGTTGAATTTTGTCAGAATGTTTCAAATACCGGTATACCAATCCCAAGCCTGGGGTCTTAGCAATCTTAAAAGTTGAGAAAGGAAAAGAAATCGAGGAGTCTTCTGTTTTATGGTTTGTATAGTGGTGATTAATTCTGTTTCTTTAATCTAACAGTAATAACTCCCTAAAATTATCAGGATTCATCTGGCTCAGATGATTGCACCCTGTGAGGGCCACTGCGTCGCGTAAAGGTTAGGAAGCTGGTGCCTTGTCATTAGATTTTCAAAGGCTAGATTAAAACAGCCTTAATTACAAATTACCCAATGCTCCAGGTTGGGGATTAAGGCGTTGAACTTGTTCTCTAATGCTCGTCAAAATTTTAATACATAAAAATTCCTAAACAAAGCCTCGGAGACTTAGATGGATTTTCAACATAACGAACAAAGCTAAGAAAACGGTTATTGAATGGAACATACCGTGAATAAATAAAAAAAACTGATATCATTGCGCCTGATCTAGAACTAATAAAAATGGACATTAAAGCACTAACTGAAACAAAAAAAAATACACCGGTATCGATATGATGGGAAATTTCTACATATAGTTACTGAAATCATCAAAGATAAAAGAGCCGCTATTGAGTATCAATAATCACAATCAATAAATTTGCCTTTATCTCCATGCGAGGCCGGTGCCACTTGTCATATTTTCCATAAGTTTCTCTCTTGGCCATACCAATATCAATCACCTTTACCGAAATGTCCTGCCTAAGGATCAACCCCTCAAGTCTTATTTAGTTTTTCTCTTATACTCCTTCCAGAAACCCCAGAAACATTAGGAATTGTGCATTAAGAATTATGTTAAACAAGGAAAAAATCAAATGAATGTAAGTTTCTTAAAACTCACGAAATATATAACGGAGAATTCAAATGAACAACCATATCTTTGAGCAAGTCAAAGAATTCACATATCTTGGATCGCTAGTAAACGCAACAAACACGGCAAGCGACGAAATAAAAAGACGCATAGCAATAGCAAACAGAACTGGTCACGGTCTCCAGAAACATTTAAAAAATAAAAATATAAAACGTGCAGTAAAGCTCAATACACAGATTGAACGAAATAAATTCGGAACCTACGAAATATTATGTATTTTGGCTCAATTCTGCTTTAGATGATTGATCAACAAAAGGTTGTCAAATAATTATATTATAAAAATCCAATACTTCAGCGAGCTGCTGGAGTCTTAAATCATAAAAATTGAAAGCTACACATAAATCTACGATTTTATTATGCTGTCAAACCACTTATAGTCCAGGAAATGAAGCATTTCACCTCGCAATTTTTTCGTTCTGCGTGGATTGACTTGAAATTTTAACAGAAGGTAGGTAATAGCCAAGGATCAAAATCTATATCGAACCAAAGTGCGCCAAAGCCTTGGGGGTGGTTGCCACCCCATCTCGGGGGTAAGTTTTTTTTACGTTTTAACTACAGGTTTCGATTAAAAAAGTGATTCTAAACAAAAAATGTTCCATACATTTTTATTGTAAAACTGATATTTTTTAAGTTATTCGCGATTGAAAGTAACAACTTTTAGACGAAAAAATCGACGTTTTTAATAGATTTTTCGCGAATAACTCGAAAATGGTGCATTTTATCAAAAAAATTGTACAGAACAAATTTGTAGCTTTTAAAAAGACAAATACAATTCATTTTTTAAAATGTTTTTGCGATATAACAGGAACCGAAATACGGCCTATCAATGTTCAGCGGTTTTCTTCAAATGATAAATTTGAAAGATTCAACGTCAAATATCGGGAAAATGACGCATTTTTGGAAGACAACTCACACAACATTTTTAAAGAGCATAAATAGACCTATCATAAAAAAATACTGTAGCTCACAAATTGAGTGAGTTATGATGAAAATAAGGTCAATACCTCATTTTTTTACGAAAAAATCGATGAAAACAACCCCCTAACCACACCCATAATTAAAATCGATCTTCACCCTTCTGCAATTCTCTTTGTACATGTATTGTTAATACGTTTAAGAAGTTTGACCCATTTAAAATGCTTAGTTTTAGAAAAAGTACAGCATAAAGCGAGAAACGATTTACAATTTCATATTTTTTACACTTCTTTTTTTAAATATCCCCGAAAATACTGAATATATGAAAAAAAAATGTACTAAATTGTAGCTTTTTTAATGACTAAAATTTTCCCTTATTTAGATTTGTTGTACAATAAATATTTGGCGAGATATAGCCGTTTGAAGCATCGATTTACGATCAAGCACCATCTTTTTCCAGCCCTTTAAACTCACCCCATTTAAAAACCAAGGGTTCCAAAAAGATTTAATTCACAGATCCTTGTAGCTCTTAAAAACCTCTACAAAATCGTTTTTCAAGAAACACTCTACCGTTAAAAATGAAGGAAATACGTTAAAAAAACCAATTAATTTTTTTCCCGGAAAATTCCATTAGTATAGTACAGTACATTTCGGAGCATAATAATCTACAAAACCGGTATATTAGGTAGTGGGGCGTTATACATTTGAAATTTTAAGCGTTCTTATTTTGAAGTCCCATACAACAGAATAAAACATCTGCTCATATGTCTATGGCTTGGCAATGAAAATATCAGAGCAACAGATTGGGAATGGTATTCCAAAGATGGTTTGTTATTACCCGTACGCATGAACAAACAACCTGCACCCGATGAACTTTTGAAAATTATTTCTGCCAATGCAAAAAAAGGATGCGGCGTTTCATGTGGGTGTAGAAAAGTTGGTTTATACTGTAACTCTACTTGTTCTGGGTGCTCAGGTGAAGGGTGCAATAATAGTCCACCAATAATTGAAGAAGATGAGGATGACATAGATCACGATGAAGATGTAATTGATGACGAATAAATTTAATATAATAATTGTTTTACCTATAAATGTAAATATTTTCAACTATTTATGTAAATGTATAAGAATATATGGTGCCTTTTTATGTTGATAAATTTTTTTGTATTTAATTCTACTTTTTTAAATTTATATCTATTCAATTAGTTTATAAAAACTGCAATGTTGTAAAGGGTGATTTTCAAAAGTTGAAAAGTTGCAAATTTTTGGCAAAAAATTGTTTTTACATATAGCACTCATAACAATTGATTTTTGAGGGTTGAAAATGTATGAAATTGTATTTTAAAGTATAAAAAAATCCAAACCAAATTTCACTCACCTTAAGATTTGTAATGTTATTTTACAATTTTTGAAAATTAGGGGTAGTTTTCACCCTTAAGAACAATCAGGGTTTATTGGCATGACATAAACTATAAAGCAGAGGGTGAGTTGAGCTTAATTCCAAATTTTTATGCAAATGGTTCCAAGGCGAAATCATTTTCGTCGCATTACTACTTTTTTACATTAATCTCTAACAAGGATCGCTTTTTAAGGGTTGAAATATGATGGAACTTTATTCAAAAGCACGAAACTATCATTATTTAATTAATTCAAACTAAATGTTACCCATATTCAGGTTTAATATGTTATTTTATAATGTTTGACAATTAGGGATAGTTTTCACCCCTAAGAACAATCAGGGTTCGTCGACAGACATGAAATATAAAGCAGTGGGTGAATTGAGCTTAAATCCAAATTTTTATCAAAATCGATCCAAGGAGAAATCATTTTTTTAGAAGTAGTAATTTTTTTACATTAATCTCTAACAAGGGTTGTTTTTTAAGGGTTGAAATATGATGGAACTCTATTCAAAAGTATAAAATAATCATTATTTAACTAATTCAAACCAAATCTTACCCATATTCAGGTTTAATATGTTATTTTATAATTTTTGAAAATTAGGGGTAGTTTTTACCCCTAAAACCCCTCAGCGCACTTCGGTTCGATATAGATTTTGATCCTTGGGCTATCACCTACCTTCTGTTAAAATTTCAACTCAATCCATGCAGGACGAAAAAATTGCGAAGTTTTAACTTTTTTCGAGAATCATTTCTTGAACTATTATCGCTTCCTTTACGCAAACAACATTGTTGTGAGACAGATAGTTAAATGATATTTTATACAATGTCTATACCCAGGTATGGATTTATTTTTGTCCAAGTTTTATATTGGTCCACTATTTCAAATGCAGTTCAAACAGACATATATTAAATTGTATGTTCCGTTTTAAATTCATTCAATCTGTATATAAGACCGGTTTTGATATATGGGGCTGAAACGTGAACTTTATCTCAAAATATTGATAGACTTCTTGGTATTTTTAAGAGAAAAATTCTTAGAAAGATTTCGGGGCCGTGTGCCGTAAATGAAAATGGGCTATGCGTCGAAGATACAACTTTAAACTATATCAGTTATACATTGATCCAGATATCGTGAAATTCGTTAAAGTGCAGAGACTCAGATTCGCTGGACAAATTACTAGGATGTCAGATCACGAATACACGAAGAGATTAACATTTTCCAAACCAGAGGGTACGAGAAGCAGAGGACGACCACAAATGAGATGGATTGATAATGTGGAAGAAGATATATAGATTCTAAGGGTTAGAATATGGAGGCAAGATGCCAGGAATCGACAGAAGTGGTGACTTCTTTGTGAGCAGGCCAAGATCCATAATGGATTGTCCAGATGATGATGATCATGTTAACACATAATATAATTAAAAAAAGGTTTAGTGGAACAATATTAAAAAATTTGGTTTTATTTTGTAACTTAACACCCCGTAACTTTTCTAGGTGGATTTATATAGGTGATTATATCTAGGTAAGCTGAATCGACTTATTTTTCGTAAGCCGAAAATTATGGTATAATTTATGCCAATTTTTTTTGCGATGTCCTGTATAATCAAGACAATTAACACAAGATGAATACGAAGTAAAAATGATTTTTGCAATATTCTCTTCTAAAGTACGTCTATTATAATATACTTACAGTGATAAGTAGTTACAAAAAATTTAAGTGTTAGTGTTTTTTTTGTTCTAGAGATTACTTAAAACTAATAGTGACCTTGCACGATTAAAATTACACTTTGCATGATGCATTTAGTTTTTGTATTTTTATTTTGGTTAAATAAATAGTACGATAAGATTAGCAGGTAATTAATAGAGGAAGCAAAAAAAAAATAGTCCAAGTAAACTAAACAAAAAAAATTCCGAACAAAATTGGTTACATTCAGACAAAAGTGAAAACTAACTGGATTACATAAGCTAATCTTTTCAAAAAGAAACTAGTTAAAACCAGTCATCAATAATATTGAGTAAAACACGGTTCAACTTGTCTTCCTTACCAGATTAAAAAACCAACTCCTATTATATACTTACAGACAGCTGATAAATGATATTCTGGAAAAAACTTTCAGTGGCAAGCCGGTAGCGAGCGCTCGTTCCACAGCGGTATTCGGAAATTTTAGCAAGTTCACTAAGTTATGTTTGTTTATTGAAAACTATTGTGTTGAAGTACTTAATGGTTTTATTGAAGTGGTGTAAGAGCAATTGCATACATTGCAACATCTGCTTCTTCGATATGATGGCCATTAAATTTTGCATCGAAAAATTCAAACCATCTGTTTAGGATTTAGGCCGTATCATTTAGGCTGTTTCCTTCTACATCTTTACAGCTCCTTATTTTTGGCTAAAACTCTTTGCGCATTTTGTTAAGATTTCTGTAGAACTTCTGAGTTTCATTTTGATTTCTTAGCCATTCTGTGCTTTCCAACTGCTTTTGCTCAAACTGTTTTTTTTTTTCTTCCATGTAATGTTTCTTCTCTTCTTAGGGTCCGATATTCTTGCTTTGCTCTTCTTGTGTATCCAGCTTGATTTGTTTTTAGGTATGCCCTGTTTTTGCTATCTGTTGCTTCTTGGCACTCCTTGTCAAACCATTCGTTTTCTTTAACTGGTTTGGTTTCCCCAATATTTTTGTTGCTTTTTCAGTTATTATGTTTTTACATTTTGTCCAAAGTTCCTCTACATTTTCCCCCACCTCCAAGCTCTCCATTTCCTCGTCTATTTGTCTCCTATAATCTCTCGCAACGGTTTCAATGCGTAGATTATCCACGTTAATTCTGTCTTGTTTCGTGTGTTTATCTTTCTTTAGTTTTGATATTATTTCTTTGATTTTTGCCATTACAAGAAAGTGGTCACTGTCAATGTTTGGGCCTCGGTAGCTTCTGACGTCTATGAGATCGGAAGAGTACCTTGCATCTATCAGGATGTGATCTATCTGGTTAATGGTTTCGTTATAAGGGGATTTCCATGTTCCTTTGTGTATCATTTTATGGGGAAATGTTGTTCCTCCTACTATCATGTTTTTAGTACTTGCAAAGTTTATTAGTCTCAACCCGTTATTATTTGACTCTTCATGTAAGCTCTCACGTCATATAGTTGGCTGGAAAAATTGCTCTTTGCCAATTTTTGCATTAAGGTCCCCAGCAATGATTTTCACGTCATGGTGTGGACATCGATCATATTCTTTGTCTAAGGTGTCATAGAATTCATATTTTTCATTATCCTTCTTTTCTTCCGTAGGTGCGTGTACACTAAGTAAGCTATAATTAAAGAATTTTCCTTTAAGGCGTAGATAACATATTCTGTTGTTTATGGGTTTAAAGTTAAGAACTAATTGCTTTGCTTTTTTACTGACTAGAAAACCACTGCCAAGCTCGTGTCGGGTGTTATGTCCGCTATAGTATATATTGTAGTCTCTTTTCTCGATAATTCCTGAATCAGTCCATCTCATCTCTTGAATTGCTACTATATCGGCTTTCATTTTATCAAGTTCTTGCGATAGCAGTCTAAGAGCACCTGGGGCATAAAGGTGGGGCATAAAGGGTTCGTACATTCCATGTGCATATCCGTAAATCGTTATTCCATTGTCGCTTGCTAGGTCGTTGTGAATTAAACAGTCCGGCTTTTCCACTTTGTGCTTTCATAACAATGAGTTTTTTTAAGGGAAAAGGTCGTTAACCTTTTGTCCAACCCCCTAATCTTCGGAGGACCATTTCTCCTACTCTCGTTTGTCCTGACTCTACTTCCCACTGGGGTTGGTTACCACAATCTTCCACAGAGTTGCTCAGGTTACCAGGGTTCACCGCGTGGAGGTAAGAGTTGGAATTGTGTAGGAGAGGCTAGTGACGCTAACAGGATGCAACGTCATATTTTACGCATCACTACCCCGGTTAAACCCTCATCATCCCTCCATCTGAGTTTTGGCCTACCCCTACTTTTACTTCCCACATATTGTGACATAAGAATTCTTCTAGGAGGGTTGTTCTGCTGTAATCTTGCCAGATGTCCTGCCCATCTTAGTCTTCGTATTTTTATAAGAGATACTACGTCTTTACCAACAAATATATATTAATATCTGTGATATATCTCGTAGTTGTACCTCCTTCTCTAAACATCATTTTCACAGATGCCACCAAACATTCTTCTCAGGACTATCTGCCTTGGAAATGATCCATGTCTTCGATACATATGTCAACACTGGTTGTATAAGGGTTTTGTATATGGTTATTTTTGTTTTTTGGATTAAGTTTCTGCTTCTCATATGTCTGCTCAATCCAAAATAGCATTTGTTCGCTAGGATTATTCTTCGGTTAATTTCTTCCGTCATGACGTTCTCCTTGGTGACCAAGGAGCCTAAGTATGTGAATTTGTTCACCACTTCAAAGGTAGAGTTATCAACAGTGAATTGGTGGCCTATGTTTCTGGCTCTATTATTGGGTGTTGATGCCATTATCTTAGTTTTCTCCTCATTTACTTGCAGGCCCATATTTTTTGAAGCATTTGACAAGGTGGTATATATTTCTTCTAGTTTGTGTGTTGTGCGGGCAACTAGGTCAACATCATCTGCATATGACAAAATTTGGGATGAGTTATTAAAAATGTTTCCTCTGTTGTCTATTTGGGCAACCCTAATCGCCTTTTCTAGAGCTATGATGAAAAGGAGACACGCCAGTGCATCTCCCTGTCGCAGCCCAACATGCGTTTCAAATACCTTTGATTGTTCGCCCTGTATTTCGACTTTGCAAATAATTTTACGCAAAAACAATTTGTCTTCCTTACCAGATTAAAAATCTGCCCCTGTAGATACACACACAGAAAGTTGATAAATGGTATTCTAGAAAAACCCTCAGTGATAGGCCAGTCGCCGGCGCTCGTTCCACAGCGATATTCGATGCCTAAATGTTTCGCTAGAAACCTAAGACTTGTTTAAATAACACCGAACCTTTCTTTTGGAATATATATTTATAAGGCGTGTTAAAAAAGTTGCAACATTATATTAAATTTGTTATTATAAAACAGTTTAAAAAACTACTGACTTTTTAGCTTATAAACAATTATAATAACTTTGACATTTTTTATGTCATGAGCTTGTAAGTAGATTCAGTGAAAGGCTGGTGAAAAACACTTTCCAAAAAAAAAAACAAAATCTTCCATGACCAATAAGGAAAACAAGATAGCATTTTTTTTCTAAAATTCATATTTTTAAATATGATAAAGACATGCTAAATATGATTTCGGGCCTATGCAAAAACAGCAGACCAAGCGACGAGAAGTATTAAAAAAAACGCCGAAATTTCTGCAGAAACCATATAGGTTTTCTTACTATAGGTATAAATTAACCGAAACTCTCTAATATCTGGCTATTGCAAAGTCCCGAGAAATACTTGTTTCTCTGGACTATTACAATGTTTTATTTTGGTAGATCTGTCCTATCTTTCAGGCCAAAATATGTAAGTAGCGTAGTAGCGATCATTGCAGCGTGTTCCAAACTATAAATAATATTATTTGTTATAGTTAAACATTATATACGTACCAAAGCAAAAATTATATACGGAATAAACATTGTCTTTTAAAATGATTGACACTTGTACACTAACCACATGACATTATTTCACAAACTAAATAAACATTAACGACAATTATTTAGTGCTTGTCTGCTAACTACTGTAAATAACGATATATATTTTTTTGGCCTAGGAAACGATAATTTTTATTTTTATAAAGTGTATATTGCCAGTCATTGACAGTCAACAGCTAGTTTCTATCTAAGATAAAGCGATACGTGTTATCTAATAGATATAAAACCGAATGAATTTAATGAATTCCTTTAATTGCAATGCTGAACTACAATATACAGAGTGTTTCAATTTAGTGCCGGTTTAAGACAGTCCTGCCTATAGCACTCTGATGCGTGATAGGGCCACAACTATCAGCTAAGTGCTCTTCATGTGGGAGTCCTGGGTAATAGAACCACAACATGGTTTCCTAATCGAATTCAAAACTCTCCTTCTTCTTCTGGTTCCTATCCGTTTCGGATGTTGGAAATCATATTGGCAATCATAACCTTGCTCGCTGCGGCTCAAAACAGCTCCGTTGAGGTTTTCTTAAGACATGTTCTTAAATTCCGCAGCCATGATATTCTCCTTCTACCGGGTCCTTGCTTACCTTTGACTTTACCTTGCAATATAGACTGTAGCAGGGAGTAACGGTACTCATTTCTCATACCGTGTCCCAGATATTGCAATTTTATGCGTTTGATTGTAAACACAATCTCTGGTTCCTTCTTAATTTTTCCTAGAACTTCCTTGTTCGTGATCCTTGCTGTCCATGATATTCTCAGCATTCTTTTATAAAGTCACATCTCAAATGCTTCAAGTTTTTTAATAGTGGTGTCTGCAAGCGTCCATGCCTCCGCCCCGTACAACAACACAGAGAAAACATAGCATCTCAAATGTCTCATTTTTGTATCAAGGGATATGTTGTGACTTTTGAAGATGGCGCTCATTTTGTTAAAGACCGTTCTTGCCTTTCCCATGCGGCACTTTGTTTCCTGTAAATTGCTCCACTGTTCGGTAATAATAGTTCCCAGGTAACAATACTGTTTTACTCGCTCTATCTGCGTCCCATTAATGTATAGATGAGCCCCGTTTATATTCTCCTTGCTGATAATAATTTGTTTCGTTTTGTGGGTATTAATGTTTAGTCCGTACTGTTGACTGTACTCGTTTATTCTGTCCATTAGCCTCTGAAGTCCCTCTAAACTATCTGCTATCACCATGGTGTCGTCGGCATATCTAACATTGTTTACTCTTTCACCATTTAGAAGGATGCCTTAGTCTATTCCGTAAAGAGCCTCGTTAAAAATTTTCTCTGAGTACTTATTAAATATCAACGGCGATAGGATACATCCCTGTCTAACTCCACGTAGTATTTTTGTGTGATCTGTTTTTTTCTCCGTTAATTTTCATGTATGCGGTCTGATTCCAGTAGAGTTCTGAAATTATTCTGAGGTCTTTGTCATCCAGGTCTGCCTCTTTTAAAATGTTTATCATCTTTTGATGTTGAACTCTGTCAAATGCCTTTTCATAGTCGATCAAGCACGCGTTATACGTCGCAGTTAACGTCCCTGCATCTTTGAATCAGTACCTGTACTCCGAAAAGTGCCTCTCTGGTACCCACTACCCACTGCGTTAATGAAGCCGAACTGTCTGTCCGATATTTGTTCCTCGCACTTCTTATAAATTCTTCCATGGATGACTCTAAGAAACAGTTTCAACATGTGGCTCATTAGGCTGATTGTTCGATATTCTTCGCACTTTTTAGCCCCCTGTTTTTAAGGTATCGCTATGAATTCTGATTCTAGCCATTTATCAGGGATGATTCCTGTATTGTATATTTTATTGAAGATAGCCGTGATCCAAATTATTCCTTCTTCCTCCAAGAGTTTTAAAAAATTCAGCTTCGATATTATCAGGCCCTACAGCTTTTCTGCTTTTCATCCGTTTTATTGCTTCTTCTACCTCGGATTTAAGTATGTCCGGGCCCGTCATCCTCTCTGAAAATGGATGCCTATAATCCGTTCTTTGATCTTGAAAAAGTGTCTCCAAATATATTCTCCATTTGTCTTTCATCTCTTGGGTGTCAATGATTAATTTTCCATTGGTGTCTATGAGTTTCATTTGTGTTCACTTTTTAAAAGTACCCGTTATTTCTTTTACCTTTTTGTGTACATTAAAATTGTCATGCTTGGCTTGTAGTCTTTCTATTTCTTTACATTTCTCTACAGCTTCTTTTTCTTTAGCTTCTCTTATTTTTCTTCTGATGTAAGCCTGCATTTTTTTTATACTCATTTTTCAAAACTCAGGACAGCGCATTGTCGCTATATTCCTGTTATCTTAATGTGGCTTATCCGCTAACTAAAATTGCTTACTTGGGCTTTAAGTCTCTGCTCTGAGCCAGGCTCAGTTCGGCGACTTGGTGCTCAAGGGGTTGGGTTCTACGTGCCCGGGTTTTCGGGGATCTTGTTAATTTTTTTTTGTCGGCTTGCGCTGGTTTTTGTTAGTATTTTTTCATTTTTTTGGTGACCTAAGCCGGTTTTTTGTGTTGTTTGATTTTTTTTTGTAGGTAGCCCTGAAACAAAAATCAAAATTAGTACAATATCTATATCATATTATTGAATAATATATAAAAATATGAGACAATATAACAATATATAATTTGTCCTCTTTAAAGCAACCATCTCACGTTGTATTTTACGATTTTCCACAAGTGTTTTTGAGCTACGAACTGTCTTCATTGTGCGTTGTTGTTGTTTTTTGAAGTGTTTTCTCTCTGGTGTTTTGTTTTCTCTCTGGTGCGATTGTTGATTTTCTCTCTAGTATTATCGTTTTATTCTACATACTATTTATTGTTTGGGTCTTTTGTGCTTCCATCTGTGGAAAGCGTCGTACCTCATTATCTCTCGCAATATGTGACTGGGGTGGTTTTCTATCTCCGCAAACTTTGTCCCCTTCACTACCCTTCCTTTGAAAAATGTACTCTACTCAAACAGTTGTACTGATAATAAATTACAACAAAATTTGAGGAAGTTTTCATTGAGTTATTGTTAGATACAATCCAACACCAGATGCATGGAAAACAGTATATATTACCCCAATATATAAAAAAGGTGATAGGAGAAATTGTAAAAACTATAGAGGGATATCGGTCACAAGTTCAATGAGTCGACTATACGGTCGAAGACTACGGGACCTGATAGAGGAAGATTATCAATCGTCTGAAGACGAAGAACAAGGAGGATTTAGAGCAGGTCGTTCATGTACAGATAACATCTTCTGTCTTAAGCAAATTATAGAAAAGAAAAATTGTGACAAATAGAGAGTTACATATGACTTTTGTAGATCTTGAAAAGGCATATGACACAGTCGTCCCGCTAAATAAACTATGGGAAGTCCTGGGCACATCAAACATACATCAAACATTGGTTAGTGCTCTCAAAGATCTATATTATGGTTCAACTCCCAAATGAAATTCGGAAACCTCTTAGCTGAAAAATTTGCATTTACTAAGGGTCTCAGGCAAGGATGTTGTATCTCTCCGACTCTATTTAAGATTTATATCTCTGCAGCTCTGAAACAATGGAAAAGGAAAGTTAAAGGAATGGGTATACAATTGAACGATCAGGATTACATATATACTTTACAGTTTGCAGATGATCAGGTGGTGATCTCAAATGACAAAGATGACATGGAATACATGCTTAGAAAACTAATTGAAGAATACTAGAAATGGGGATTAAATATCAATTTAGAAAAGACAAAATACCTCTCAATTGGAGCTGAAGCAGAACAACTCGATATCGATGACAATCAAAAAATAAATCCAAGCAACGAATATAAATACCTGGGCGTCATCATCGACCGTAGTGGAAAAGACGAACGAGAAATAGAACATCGAATTGTACAAGCACGAAGAGCTATAGCATGTTTGAACGGAGTTCTATGGAGTAAAGAAATATCAAAGAAAAGAAAATGTAACATCTATGAGACAATGGTTAAAACTAGCCTACTTTATGGAGCTGAGACATGGAGAATAACCGAGAAATATAAGAAAAAGGTCGAAGCCACTAAAATGGATGTCATAAGAAGATCGATGAGAATATCAAGAGCCGACAGAATACGGAATGAAGTGATAAAACAACAAATGGGTATAGAAGGCACTATAGTTGAGGATATTGAGAGAAAACAGCTCATATGGTATGGCATGTGAACCGAATGGGGGACGAAAGATTGCCTAAAAAAACGATGATGTGGCAACCCCCAGAGAAGACGAAACGAGGAAGACCACCACAGAGCTGGAATCTGGGAGTTAGGAAAGCGATTAACGCTCAAATCTGGACGAAGACCTAACTCAAGACAAAATACAGTGGCGTTTGGGAGTCGGAAAACGTCGTAAGACGTTATAAATCCGAATATATATATATATATATATATATATATATATATATAATATATATATATATACTTCATCTAATTTAGATAACGACTTACGTCATTATCTACGTCAGAGATCGAAGTTGACATAGTTGCCAAAATATAAAAAAAATCCTGACTCCAATTTAAATCAAATAGATTACATAATTATTGCAAAAGTATTACCATGTCTTTACAACGACCATTTAAATTCTTACGTGACATTTTTGAAATAAAAACACACTAATTTTGTTCTAAAAGAACAGATTTTATTAAATAGTTAAAAATATAAAACAAGAGATATTCAATTTAAATTCAAAATAATGAAGTACAAAAAGTGTCAACACCGCAACTGTCAAATAAGTGTTACCAATTTATGCCAAAATTTTACCTTCGTTCGATTACAGTTACAGTGTGTTTCGAACAAATGCTCCTGATAAAAACGATTTATAATGCATTTATACAAATTAAATGAAACATATTATTGTGTATTTTTTTAAGTTAACATTAATAGAAATCTTTAAATATAATTTCTACGCGTATATAATAAAATATGTCTAGTGGCTGTAATGCCAGTGTACTCGGTAAAGTGATTCTAAAAAAGAACACACCTACACCCTAAATATTTTGTGTTGGTATCATGTGACGTCACAGGCTATGACGCTGATGACGTGCATCGTTATATAAATTAGATGAAGTGTATATATATA